TTTTAATCAACTTGCTTAACTGAGACTTCATTGTTGATTTATACGTTGATTTATAAACTTATATCAACTCCTTTGTCACTTTCCCTGCTGCCCCTGGCCGCTCTCATTCCACTCTTGAATTCTGTGGGTTTAACTGTGTTAGATACCTCATATAGTGGAATCACGCAGTATTTGTTTCTTACTGACTACCTGGGTGCACTTAGAATAGCCTTGAGATTCCTCTGTGTAGTGACATACAGCAGTGTTTCCTTATTTTTTCAGGTTTAATACTGTTCTATCATGTGTACCCACCACATTTAGTTTATCCATTTGTCTGTTGGTGACATTGGGGTTGTTCTTACATCTTGGCTGTTGCAAATAATACTGCCATGAGCATGGGCATAAACAATGCAGCAAGATCACTGTCAGCTAGAGGAGACCCTCTCCTTATCTCTCTAGAAGAGCCTAGAGATTGCTGATGCTTCTAGAGCCTCCGTGATGTATCCCGCAAACCAGTGAGTGATGTAAAGGCAGGGAGGAGAGTTCGTTCATACCAGGAGGACAGAGAGTCAAAAGGTTGCTGTGTTTACCTGCCTGACATCTCTGGGGCCTGGTCATCTCTTGACCCGGGGGTCAAGGTCGAATCCTTGGTATCAGTTGAAGGATTTGTGTCTTAGAGATCAGGAGTGAGAGCAGAATGACTCTGCCTGGGATTGAAGAGAGGTGGAGGTTGGGAAGGGAGAGGGGGTGGGAGAGTTTGGGAAGGCTGCTGAAGACACTGGTTGAAGAGAGAGGATGAGTAAAGAGCAGCCTCTGGGGTGATGATGGGAGAGCTTGTGTCCCCACGGGGTGAGCAGTGTAACCCCCTCCTCGTTCCCCCACAAAATGTCCATTAAAGACTACGCTACTCAGTAAGACTTTGTGGAATTGGATTTGCCTTTTTAGAAGATACAAAACGTGACTGGTTGAAAGCAGTGCACCTGCATAGCATCCGGTATCTTGGGGATCACACTTAGATATGTGACCCTCCTTTTGCCCAAGGGCAAGGCTCCTTTCTTCTCAGAGAGAGCCGGGTGCCAACCCCTTCCATCAATGGCTGCTGAATGAGCAAATTCACATAAGGTCTGTAAAAGTGGGGGGCTTGTGAGTGTCCCCTCCCACTTCCCCTGTAACCTTCCCCCACCTCCCCAGGAACATAGATGATTTTAACACTGGCTGGGGCTTCGGGCAAAGGTTCAGCTACATTTGTTTGTTCCTCTCTGATCTGCTTTGACTGTCCATGGTCAGGATCACAGCCAGCCCGAAACAAACACAACACTAAATAGGAAACCAGGAGAATAAAATAACAGCAGTACATCCCTCTAAGCCCTGTCTGGTGCTGATCAAGTTGATGAGATAAGAGGAAATTGTGTTTAAGCAGTAAGAGGGCTCTGTTCATGTCGGAGACTCCTCTGACCGTGCATGCTGTAGATGCAGAGATAAGCCCCGGGCTCCAGCACTCCAGAGATGCACTCCACCACGCTTTGCTGGGGGACAGGCAGCTAAGAACACAAGGGGAGAGAATTCCAAAAGGATACATGTCGAATCGCTGGCCTGGATTTCAAATGCCATAGATAGTTTATGTGAAGTCTCGCACTGTTGTAAAATGTAACCTGATCCCCCTGGCGGATCTGCAGGAACTAAGTTGTTTTTGAGAAAAATAAATAAACTTGAAAAAGTCTGCCAGCCCATTAAGTTGGCTATGTTTTACCCACAGCCTCCTCTGTATTAGGCTTCTAGGGATTTGAATAACTGAAGTCATCACCTAATTTCTGGCCAATGAGATGGATGATTCTTGGCACCTTTACTCTCTTTAGGAAGTTACCTGTGACATTCAGGAAACTAACACTGTGTTCCCAGGCCCCGCTCACACCTTGGGGAAGGGGAAGGGCAACTTTGGCAGCGAACAAGTTTCAGTACTTTTCTGTTTTAAAGCGATGAAGCTCTCAGAGGAAACAATACAAGGCATCCTGATATATAAAACAGATGGATGAAGATGCTTTGGTTGAAACCATGGAGCAGAAGCTAAACACATCTTCCTCCATCCTGAAGCCCAGATTGACACCTCCAAGCAACCCTAGGAATCCAGAGGTGACAACTTGAAAAGCCATGACCTAATCCAACATTCAGATGTGAAAGATAACCTGAGGTCCAAAGATGAGAGATAGCTAGTCGGCAATTACACATCAAATGTTGAGGGAGTCGGAACCAGGACCAGGTATCTTAACCCAGCTCACCATTACAGGAACTCCCTGGGTGATGGTGTGATTCTCCAAAGTTGGTTAAGACACTTTTCTTCTTCTATTTGATATTTCAAGAATGAACTGAAGATGTTAACTTTAAGGGAAACTGGGTGAAGCATATATGTAACTCTTGGTATTTCTTCCTTTGCAAGTTCCCTGTAAATATAAAATTATTCCAAAACAAAACATTTATTTTAAAAGAAAGCATTGCAGCTTGCAATTGTGGATTACAGTGCGGCCATGTGTTTTAGCTTGACTTTGATTAGTGAATTTGATGTGCAACTTTCCGTGCTATTTTTAATTCTTCTACCCTCATCTGTATGACTCCCTAGGTATAGTATAACTTCGTTTGATTTTAATAAATAGAATCCTAATGTACTTATCCACTTATACCTCATTCTTTATTCATTCCATGCTATGCTTTTGCAATCTCTCTATGTTGTCATCTATGAACTCACAAATAGGGCTTCTATTTTTTTTGGCCAGGGTCCATATTGAACCAGGTGTCAGATATTCTCAGGATCATCCCCACATTTGAATCTCATTCAGTCCTCTTAATATCCTTTTGCTTATGGAATCCTAACATGTGAATGTGTCATCTTTACTCACCCCTTCTTCAGCAGGGGAGCATATAAACTATCCCTGATCTTTTTTTTAATTTATTTGTTTATAATTGAAGGGTAATTGATTTACAGTATTGTTTGTTTCTACCAGATATCAACATGAATCAGCTATAGGTTTACCCATGTCCCCTCCCGCTTGAACGTCCCTCCCACCTCCCTCCCCATTCCACACCTCTAGGTTGTTACAGAGCCCTGATTTGAATCCCCTGAGTCATGCAGTAGTTTCCTTTTGGCTGGCTGTTCTCCATACGGTCACGTATGTTTCCATGTTACCCTGCATACGTCCCACCTCTCCTTCCTCCCTCCACAGCCATGTCCTTGCGTCTGTTCTCTGCGTCTCTGCTGCTGCTCCGCGTGCAGGCTCATCAGCACCATCTTTCTGGATTCCATATACATGCGTTCATATACAGTATGTGTTTTTCTCTTCCTGGCTTACTTCACTCTATATAATAGGCTCGAGGTTCATCCACGTCATTAGGGCTGACTCAAATGCATCCCTTTTTATGGCTGAGTAACGTTCCATTGTGTATATGTACCACGGCTTCTTTATCCATTCATCTGTCGATGGGCATCTAGGTGGCTTCCCTGTTCTAGCTGTTGTAAAGAGGGCTGCAGTGAACGTTGGAGTACATGTGTCTTTCAGTTTTGGTTTCCTCGGGGTATATGCCTAGTGGTGGGATTGCTGGGTCATATGATGCTTTCATTCCTAGTTTTTAAGGACCCTCCACACTGTTCTCCATAGTGGCTGTTATCCATTTACATTCCCACCAACAGTCAGTGTAAAAGGGCTCCCTCTTCTCCACACCTTTTCTTAGCATTTATTGTTTGTAGAATTTTTGATGATGGCATATCCCTGATCTTTTGCTACTGAAGATATTGCTGGAATGGATAGTCTTGATCCTTGTATATATATATATATATTTTTTTTTCTTTCCTTTTTTTTTGTTTTACATGCATATGTTTGTTTGTGTAATTGATATTAGATGATCTCACTTTTTTTTTCATAGCTTATATCTAGGTTAGCCTTACTTCTTAGACGAGTCACCTAAGACCCACAGATGTGGAATGACAGGCCCGTTTTCTCAGAGAATATTGAGAAAGGAGTCCCAATAGAGACGCAAGGAAAAACACTAATCTGGGATGACCTTTTGCAAAGAGTCTGACGTACCTCAAGAGTACCATAGCTGTTCTTCTCCTTTTCCATCCTAGTTCTTTTCTGGTCTGCAGCTGGCAGTTACGTAGACATATGTGATTCCTTGATGAGTGCCTGCACCCGCTGTCACCCCAAGCTCCTCTCCCTGTCTGCCTCGTCTGATGTCTTGTACCAGAGTGTTTGACCAATTGCAGTTACTCAGTAAATAGTATTGGAATGAATGACTGAACCAATGGGATGAAATGACATGAGGACAGGAAATTCCTCAGTTTGAAGAATTCTACTTGTCTATACCTGCTTCGTGTTTCTTGGAGTGTCAGTTGGTATGTCTGTCATTGAGGGCGAGGGGCTGTGTGTATGTGTAGATACTCACACGCACACCCAAATGGTGGAGCCGATATCCTTTGGGGAGAACAGATGCTGACACTGTTCCGGTCTGTGTCATTAATCTGGCTCTGAGCACAGTTTACAGATTTGTCCTGAACGGATGCTTGGTATTCAGAGTTCGTGACAGATTCAGGCCGTCAGGCCTGGCTTTGCTGCCACTTTCCCCAAGTTCTGATTATACCAGGCAGTTCATCATCCTGGGCTTCTGCTTTCCTCTGAGACTTTACTTCTGTTTCTTCCATGGGCAACACCCTTCCATGTGCAGCCACCCTCTTCTTCCAGACCCAACTCAAGTGTCAACTCCTCCAGGACATGTCCCCACAAGAACTTCTCTGACATCTCTGCCACCCAAATGTGTTATCCCTCCTTTGCTGAATGCCATGGAAGGTTTTCTCATCTGCATTATTAGAATGTGGACTCCTGGAATAGACTCTTGTCTGTTCATCACTGTTTTTTCCTGCAGTGTCAAGAACAGAATAGGTGGATAGTGAGGTGTTGTTGAGTTGAATTTATTTCAACCTCTAAAACCCTCTAAGACATGTGTTTCCCTTGATTGATTGATTTATTTTTTTCCAGGTGTGTCGGACCAAGGTGATCGATCTCAGCGAAGGCATCTCCCAGCACGCCTGGTACCCTTGCACCATGAGCTACCCGTATTCCCAGCTGGCTCAGACCACTTTCTGGGTCCGGGTAAGTCAAAGCTTTGAGAGCCACAGACTGTCCAGCGAGGCCCCCGGGGAAGCACTGTCTCCCTTGGCCCTTTCTCAGGATGGTTTTGTCTACCCACTGAGGGTGTTAATGGAAAGGACAGAGAACAAAACGGTTAGCAGCAGGATGCTTCCTGGAATGGAATCCCTTAATTGCTCATGGGATGCCTTCAGTCAGTCTTGTTTTGGCCGAGAGTTTAGATATCATTTAGATGTCGTTCTGTTAAATCATCTTGCCTTGAAGTCTTCACTGAGCCCTCCAGGGAGAAGGAACTGTCCTTTCCCTTCTAGTCCTCCACATGTGGTCATCTGTTGGGTGACACTCGTCATGTGCCGTGGTATTCCGTAGCTGTCCACGGGCCCATCTGCCTGACTGTGGACTGCGATTCTCACCCACGTGGAACTCCGCCATCTACAGAAATGCAAAGGCACATCTTATTTACCTTTGTCTCCTTGATGGCTAGTGCAGAGGTTGGTCAGCATGGAGCAGTGATGAATAACAAGTCTCATTTCATGTGGTTTTAGTGTGTGCTGGACTGTTAGTATCTTGCAGGAGCCTGCCAGGCATCCTGTGATGCACCTATTTACAGATCCATGACTTAGAGGGTAGGGAATTTAGGCTCAGAGTGGCTCAGTCATCACTGGGCATCACACAGCTTGAAAAGAACAGAGCCAAGATGAAAACAGTCTCTGACCTCAGAGGCCATGCTCTTTGCTCTGAGGTTTCGCTGCCTCCCGTTCCCACCATGGACCATGATAAATAGTCCAGCTCCCGAAATGGAAGATTCTTCTCAAAACCCCTGCCCCGGGGCCGCCGCACCACCGCATGCCTAGCTGCATGGCTGAGCCTCCTGGGTCTCCTGTATTTCAGGCATACTTTTCTCAACCAATGGTCGCTACCGCCGTCATCGTCCACCTGGTGACCGATGGGACCTACTATGGGGACCAAAAGCAGGAAACCATCAGCGTCCAGCTGCTTGATACCAAAGAACAGAGCCACGATCTAGGTGAGCGTATGGCTTGCTCTTGCTACCTGCCTCCCCATCTGCCCGTGGGTGGTTTGTAAGGATAGGCTGAGAATGAGTTCTCGCCTCCTGTCGCCTCTTATTGCTGCTCTATTTACCATCAGGTTGTCTTCAGATCAGGATGGGTCTGTGTGCACCTAGAGAAGCCCGAATCGGATGGGTATGGGGGTAGGAGATTCAGGTCAAAGTCCTCTTTTGACTGAATAAAGATGCTTTTCCATTGTATGTATCATCACCTGAGACCCAAAGAGACACACTGAGAGGCCCGGGTCACATGGCCAGAGCTAGCCAGCAAGCAGGGAAGCCGGGTTTTCAGAATCAGCACCCACTGCCCTTCACCCTGTAACCAGGAGCGTCCGCCATAGCAAATGAGCTCTCACTTGAGATGTGGTGACCCATGCCGAGCACAAGACCCCACACTCAGAAAGCCCCACCACCCCCTCCCACACTGCCCAGACACCCTGCTCAGCCTACTCTGGAATTCCAGGCCGGCGCAGAAGTCCCGGCTTCAAAGCTGTGCCCTACGATTCCACAGGGAGCTCGTTTCAAAGCCCCATAGGAAGCAAACTCGCCAGGGGTTACGTCGGGGTCAAGCCGCAGCTCAGGCAGTGGGGAGGGGTTTTGTTTTGTTTTTATGTTTACTTATTTGGTCAGTTTTCAAGGCAAGGGGGAAACGCGTTAATAAGGAAGGGAAAGGAAACCCCTCTGGATTTATCCAGATTCCTGGGAAATGTCCCTAAGCGAGAAGCAAATATTTTCATAGCTGTCCTGGCATCGCAAAGGGCTCTGTGGAGAGGTTTTCAGAGGAATGGAAAGACTCGGGCTCCAGCAGAGATCTTTGGTTCTTGCTATTTGATGCCCAAGTGTCCATCTTTCCCTCCCCATCGGCTCCCCTGTCCTGCATCCTCAGCACCCTGGCGTTCCCATGGAGGCTCTGCGGCTCTATGCCAGTGGACCCCAGACACAGACCTGCTAGACTGGGAGCCTCACGCCCGAGCAGAGCAGGACTCCCAGCGCTTGGTCAGGGTGATCTCACTTTTTAGAGGCCGACACTGAGGGTCAGGGGCTTGGTGGGCTCACATAGTAAAGAAGTAAGTATCTGTTATCCGTGTCAATCGCTCAGTCGTGTCCGACTCTTTACAACCCCATGGACTGTAACCCACCAGGTCTTCCTGTCCATGGGATTCCCCAGGCAAGAACACTGGAGTGGGTAGTCGCACCCTTCTCCAGGGGATCTTCCCAATCCAGGGATCAAACCCGGGTCTCCTGCATAGCAGGCAGGCTCTTTATCACTTGAGCTGTCAGGGAGACCTACAAAGCCAAGATTGAACTGATGTCCATCAGGCACCAAAGCCAGCTTTGCTTTTCCCAACGCCAACCCTCCCCATCATTCTCCTCCCTCTCCTTATGTACCTCTTCTCCCCGCCCCGCTCGCTCCCCACCGCTTTTCAAAGCCTGGGGACTTCTAGAAAGAACTGAGAGCTTCTGGGCGAAGCAGTTTGGATTCTCCTTGGGCTCTGGCTGGCACAGTGTTCTGTGTCCTCCTGGAAAGCCATCTCCTGCCACATTTCTGCGTCTCCTGTCTGCCAAATGGATGCAGAGGTCCTTCGCACACAGGGCTGGGCCCAGGTTCCTAGCTTAAAAATGAGAGGAGGCTTCTTTTTTACCCCAACAATGACCTGTTTCTGTGAACTGTTTCCCTCATCTTGATGACTGCCTGAAAACTAGCAGCTCAGACCAGCCAAGCCCTCCCGCGAGGTGGGAGGGAAGCCAGCGCCAGCGAGGCTTGGCCCAGGGGTGGCCCTTTGAGGGGGAGCGGGGGCCGTGGGCGCTAGGTGAAGGGAGAGCTTAGGGAGCGGCGAGGCGAGGGGATTGGAAAGATTTGGAGCCGAGAGAAAAAGGCAGACAAAGAAACTTTCAATCAAACTCAAAATCCCCACTGGCCACCCAATGGTGCTTTTGTGCAGTGACATGAAAGGGTCTGGGGGCTTCGGGAAGGGCCCGTTGGGGAGGGCGTGACTGGCCTTGAGTAATGAGCCTGGCCCCCCGGCCCTCTGTCTCCCCTGACAGGCCTCCACGTCCTGAGCTGCCGGAACAATCCCCTGATTATCCCTGTGGTCCATGACCTCAGCCAGCCCTTCTACCACAGCCAGGCGGTACGCGTGAGCTTCAGTTCACCCCTGGTCGCCATCTCGGGGGTGGCCCTCCGCTCCTTCGACAACTTTGACCCCGTCACCCTGAGCAGCTGCCAGAGAGGGGAGACCTACAGCTCTGCGGAACAGAGGTAAGGCACCCCGGGTCTGCGCGCTGGGGGGACCCTGCAGCCGGGCCGCCGTGGGTGTTGCAGGAAAAGGTCTGTGCGTTTCTCCCTTCTCCATCGTCTGGCCTCTGGCCGGCTCTGCCTTGGGGCTTGGGAGGACCCCACGACTCTGAGTTCCAGGGGGTGCGGGAGGGCAGTAGACATGGTTGTGGAAGGAGGACCTCTTTCACTCTGTTCGAGGTCCCAGCGCTGACGGCGACCTGCAGGGTGATCTTGGGAGCATCACTTTCTCTCTCTGGACCTCAGCATCCTCATTTGAATGAAGTGAGGGGTGGTGGATTAGCTGTCTTCCAGCTCTGAAATACTGGAACCTTCTGCATCCTAAGTAGCACAGGCGTAACCCTCCTGGGAGACAGCCCCAGTGGTCCTGGTGTCTGTCTTATACCTCGTGGCTCTGCGCTGCCTTGATCTGTATCTGTTAATATACCTAGTGTGGAGCTCGGAGAGGAGGGGGGTCCTTCCTAGAAAAAATATGAGCTCTAGTGAGTCTCAGTTGTCTCCTTTGGGGTAATATCTACCTGGCAGGGTGGTCGTGAGAACTGAATGGTGTGCCTCAGATGAAAGTGCTCCTACGAACTCTTAGGCACTGTGCAAAGATAATGTGTTGATTGAGAGTGTTTATCACCACTTTCTGATGCGATGCTGATGCTGTTCTGTGCATAATTCCACATAAAGTTCTTCTAGTTGAGCTGGAATAATCCTCAGAGCTCATCTAGTATATCTGCATTGTCCAACTTCCATGTTACCCTCTGGGTTTTCAGAACAGGAAGGGCTGGTCCAGAGTCACACAGCATCTCTGACGTCTGTTTAAAGAGTTGGGGGTCTCAGTGGGCTCCCCCAAAGCAAGGCCCTCTGAAAGGCAGTCCCGCTCTGCCCTGTATACCTGGGAGCAGGAGAGAAAGGAGGAGTGGGGAGAGGGGACCCCAGCCTTTCCCACGCCCCTGCCACCAGAGGACACAAAAGGTGGTTGCAAAACCCGCATTGTTTTGCACCCACTGTCTCTAGCTTCTGTTGTGCAAAGTCTGTCGCAATCCTTCATAGGCAAAAGAGCTCCTTAAATATCATTCATTGTTGTGTTTCACCCTGAGAGGGCTTTTTCATCCCTGCCTCTCCAGACTATAAAAACAAGTTAATTCTCAGAACCCAGGGAAACAATGTCGACGCAAAATGCAAATCTGTTAGACCCTCTCGGCAACGCTTTCCCGTCCCTAACCAGCCACCAAGACCATCCCCGAGTTGAGCTGAGGCCAGCGCTGGCTTCTTTGAATCCTTCATTAGCAGTTCCCGTGTCCCAAGTGAACAGTAAGACATGTTTAACCTTGAAAACAAGTCCATCAGTAAGTGTCTGTTGAAGTCCTTTGACCTCTCGTGGAAACACACGGAACTGGGGCAGGACGTTGCCCTGTCTCTGGCTGGTGGTGGGATGGGGAGCCAGACCCCTGTCTTCTCTGGGCCTGTCTCCCCACGTGTGAAATGACAGCAGTGAAGATCTGTGTTCTCTGTGATTCCTTCCACTTGGAACAGTCTGTGATTCCCAAGAGGTAGGCGCGGTGAGAGGGGAAGAGGAGGGGACCCACGCTGATTTCATCATCTTATTTCATTATCACACCTGTCTGGTGAGGTATGGACAGAGTGAGTGAGCCAGGACCATGGAGGGAGTGGGAGGTAAGATCTCGCTTTGTCCGCCCCTGAGAACCACACTCTGCTCCCCAGGACCAGGCTCATCCAGTAGAGAAGAGGACTTCCCAGGGCTCCTCCCTCACGAGCTCTTCTCAGTGAGACGGAGTGGAGTGATGGAGGTGCACTCCCGGGGCCGGCTGGCCGGGCCCTGAGCTCCCTGGGTCTAAGATAGGCTGCTCCTCCTGAATGCCAGGCTGTGGGGTGGGAGTGGGGCGCGGAGTCGGGGAGGACCGCAGCTGCCCCTGGGGCGCTGAAGAGGGATTTACCCTAACAGACAGGACTGTGCAAACGTGCAAATGCCATTAAAACAAACAAACCAGGAGGAAAGAAAAGAATAATAAGCAACAACTGTAAAAAGCCACGGGATGTTTTTCTTCATTCTCGAAGCACCAAGGTAAATAGCATCCCTTTTTATAGCTCAGCTGCTCTAGTGGAAATGGCCCACTTGACTCTCAGCTGCTTCCCAGGTAGTGAAGTGTGGCCCCCACCGCCCCCCACAGCCCTTCCTCTCCCCACTCAGAGTCCTCCTCCCACCTCCTCCCCATGTATTCTCCTGACTCTCCTCCCTCCTGCTCCTCCGGCTCTTCCCCTCCCTCCTCTCTCACCCCCTGTTCCATCCTTGCTTTCTTTCTCTCCTCCTGAGGGCAGCGTGATAGCTGGTCAGCTGCCATGGGAGAAGCCTCAAGCACAGCAAAATCAGTCCAGGCGTGTGTGTTCTGACCCGGATTCAAGGGTCTCTGTCCCCATGCGGAACTTGGAGTAAATTCAGAGACCCAGGAAAACAGGATCTGGTTTCAAATGAGAGGTCCAGTTGTGGAATTCTAGCTGAGTTCCAGCTCCGCACCAAGAAGGGGAAGGGGGAAAGACGGGGAGCGCTAGTGATGGTTGGACGGAAGCTATGAGGCTTCTTCGGTGAGAAAAGGGGCCGTCAGGAATTGAGGCTTCAGGGATTGGACACACACACACAGACGCACGTGCCATTATCCAGCCTATAGTTTTAAACAGAGATCGAGCAATTTAGCATAACATTCAGGGGACCACGTGTTTAGAAAATTAGCTTCTTCCTTTCCCTCCTTCCTTCCCTCCCCCTCTTTCCTTTCTCCCTTTCTCCCCTCCCTCTCAAGTTTTGTATTCTCTTCCTTTCTCTACCGCAAACTCTTCCCACTTTCTCCATGTCAGAGCATCCAGAGAGAGGCAGTTCTGATTGGCAGCTAGCCTTTAGAGGATCAACCTTTAGTTCAGATCAGTTCAGTTGCTCAGTTGTGGCCAACTCTTTGCGACCCCATGGACTATAGCACTCCAGGCCTCCCTGTCCATCACCAACTCCCAGAGTCCATCCAAAGTCATGTCCACTGAGTCAGTGATGCCATTTAGCCATCTCATCCTCTGTCGTCCCCTTCTCCTCTTGCCCTCAATCTTTCCCAGCATCAGGGTCTTTTCAAATGAGTCAGCTCTTTGCATCGGGTGGCCAAAGTATTGGAGTTTCAGCTTCAGCATCAGTCCTTCCAGTGAACACCCAGGACTGATCTCCTTTAGGATAGACTGGTTGGATCTCCTTGCAGTCCAAGGGACTCTCAAGAGTTTTCTCCAACACCACAGTTCAAAAGCATCAATTCTTTGGCGCTCAGCTTTCTTTTTAGTCCAACTCTCACATCCATACGTGACCACTGGAAAAACCATAGCCTTGACTAGATGGACCTTTGTTGGCAAAGTAATGTCTCTGCTTTTTAATATGCTGTCTAGGTTGGTCATAACTTTCCTTCCAAAGGGACAGTAAATTCTTGGCATGACTAGACTCATTCCTTGCAGCCAGAGTGAACGTAGTCTGGTACTTATTGATAGTGGTGGCATCAGAGTGGGTGCCTACAGGCTGAAACCAAAAGACCCTGGAGTCTGTGCCCTGACTGAGGGCTCTCTAAGAATCTGTCTGTAAGATTGGGAGCTCAGGAGGAAGCTTCTCACAGCCAGATGGCCCAGGCCTCAGGTCACCGTCCCCAGGTTCACCCAGTGTCCCCACCCTCGAATGGATCAGCACCTCTCGGAGCATCTGTTGGGAGTGGTGGCCTGGGGCATATGCCTGCAAACGGAACTTCTGTGCCTAAGCACGCGCCTTTCTCACCTGTATGGATGTGCCTGACTCTCCTCTAAGACACTGCCCAAGCCACGCTCTAGCCCCAGCCTGCCTGTCAGAATCCCTATTGTTCCATAGCCTTGTCAAAACGTGGGATTATCAAAGTCTACTTGTTCCCCTTCCAGCGGGCTCTGAAATTATACATCTCCCTGGTTTTGTCCACACCCTGACTTGACCCCGAAAGCTAGGAGGCGTGAAGAGATTCTTTGGTTCCTTACTCTCATTCAACGATGGAAAACCTAAGGTCCAGGCGGGGAAAATGTTTCCCAAAGTCGCCCCAGTGGGTTAGGATGCAGAACCACACGGCATTGGAATCCAGGTCTCGGGACTTCCAGGGCAAAGCTTTCCCCTCCCTCTCCCCATCATCAGAGGTATCAAAACAGCTGTCCCAGAGGCCCCAGCAACTTGTGGTTTTTCTGGCCCTTGTTTGACATGTTTTTAAATTACTTGTAGCAGTTAACTGTCAGGAGAGTACAGAGTAAAGGCCGGAATCCTTTCCACTCTTAAACACATCACAAGATTTGGAACATTGGGCCCACTCAGATCCTGGGACTGGAGAGGCAGCTGTGGTCAGCAGGCGGCCTCCCACTGGCCACCCTGGGCTCAGCTCACCTGGCCATTCGGATGGTCGGCCAGACGCTGTAGCTGCTGACCCTGCCTCCCAATGCCGCACCCACCACACCACCGGCTCGCTTCTAGAATTCCAGGGAAGAAGAGCCTGCTGGCATGGCTTCCTGCAGTGGCCTCGCTGCCGGGCAGGAAAAGGAGTCCTGCCTTGCTTGCTGACTCTTCCTCGGTCTCAGTTCCCAAGTGATCCTGCAGCACTCGTGCTGAGAGCATCTCCCCCTTCATTCCCCGGTTCCCAGTTCCCAGTGCCCAGTGTTGCATGTGCTGTCCCCAGCCAAGCAGCTCAGAATGGTTTATAAACCGGCTGCCTGTTGACTGCCCCCACTGCCCCATGGCATAATTGCAGCTAAGTAACCACGGGAGTTAAGCCATGGGTCAAGGGGGAGCCAGGAGGGGAGCCCTCACCAGGCCTGTGAACTCTGGCCTCCTCTCTCCCAGTTGAGGGGCACACAGGTACCCCATGTTATGCACAATCGGGGGCCCTTTCAGTTGACTGTGGGGGTTGACAATTGGAGGACTGTCAGATCACTTAAGGATCTGCCTCTGTATGGAGGTTGAGTCTCTACGTAAATAACTTACATAGGTATAACAAGAAAAGACAATTTATAAACATCTGATCATCTTTGCATAGGGTGGGGAGGGTGCCGAGTGTCACCTTTGCCTGGGTGTGCGAATTTTATTGGTAAAATTACCTATATCCCTTCCCCCATTGGGATCAACCACTCTCCTCCCTTCTGAGAAGTGGCTGCTTTTCCTTTCTCCCCCTTCTTTTGTTATTATGACAGCCCGTCACTGGTATGAAATCCCTCCCCCCTCCTTTTTTTTTTTTTTTAATGAAGGCAGAGGCTTTTGTTTTGTTTTCCTTGTTTTGATTTTTGTTTTTGTGTTTCAGAAATGACAGAGCTGTGTCAGGCAGTTTTTTGGGAGGGGCCGCTGGGGTGATGTTTATCATTTCTGGGCCATGTGTTCACACAGCGCTTTCCAGCTAACAGGACAGCGAAGGGAAGAGCAGGGACTTGGGGACAGAGACAGATCCACACCGGAATCCTGTCCATGCCGAGTGCCTTTGGGCAAGTGATTTAAACTCGCTTAGTTTAGTCTCCTCTTCTCACAAATGGGAATAATAACGCTACCTCGTGGAATTACAGTGAGGATGCAGATAAGATGATGTTGGTGAAACACAACTGCCAGTACCTGGGGCGGCCTGCTTCCTCATCCCCTTTCCTTCCTGCCCCCAGCCTGTAGGCCAGGTGCAGATGAGTGTCCTGAAAATGTAGGGAGGCCACTTTCCCTCAGATACGTTCCAGAGGACGCCAGTCCCAAGAACCGGGCCACGGGGAAAGGCTCTCAGAGCTTGGGAAGTTAGGGTCCCTTCTGGAAACCCAGCATGTGCATTAGAATTCAAGCTTCTGAGAAGTCCTGCCGTGGAGAAAGGTGATTGGCCATCGGCTCTCCTTGTTTGAACACTTTCTTGGCCAGGCAGCCCATGTGAATAGGGGTGTTTTCCCTCTGTGGTAGGAGGAGCCAGAGGAGAGGGACCCCCTTGTCCTGCGCATCACCGTTTCCGTAGCATTTCCCGTGCGCTGGCCTTTCTCTTCTGCAGACATGCCACACTCCAGCCTGCCCCGGGCCTTTGTGCATGCTCTTCCCTCTGCCTGGGATTCTCTCTGCCCCAAACCTTCACATGGCTGACCCCCTTCACTTCCTCGGGTCTTGGTCCAGGTGTCCCCAGAGGAGGCTTCCCCGACCCTTCTGTGCAGAGCGCCCCGCCCTCCCCTCTCCCGGTGTCGCCCTCTGTAGTTTCACCTGGGGTTAGCGCCCCTCCTCTATGCGCTTTGCTGTCTGAAACAAGCTTACTTATGACTTGTCTTTGGCACACGCCCTCCCTCCTCAGATCCCCCGTGTTTGCGGCAGTGTCTGCCGTGTGGTGAGATCCCCAGGCAAGTGTGTTGAACAGATGAGTCGGTGGCTGACCCGTCACCTTGTTTTGACAGTCTTGAGAGAGGGATCGTTTTGTGGCCTCCACTGAACAGAGGAGGAAACTGAGGCTCAGGTCGTCCCGTGACTTTCCAGATCAAACAACTGATAAACTGTGAGCCTGGGCCGGAGCCCAGATCTGCCCACCTGCTAAGCCATAGGGCCTTTCCGCTCGAGGAAATCAAGTTTTTAGTTTCTCCTTTTCCTATGAAGAACAACCTTAATGTGCACAGGAGGGAGAGCCCTTTTTTTTTTTTCAAACCTTAATGGTCACACAGCCCAGAGAAGCCCAGAGCCCTTGTCTTTCAAAAAGGGTCCCCAGAGGCTCCCCCCGGTCCGTCATCAGATGGGAGACTGGGGGCCTCCTGGGTGTGCAGAGCGAGAATGGTCAAACTGTAAGGCAAAGGTCAGAAGACCCACTTGGAGGCTGGTGGCTTACAGACTTCAAATCTATTTAAATTGGAACCATGTGGCTCTTTCCCCTGCGCTTGCACAACGTGAACAGATGCATTGTTTGGTGTCAGAGACCTCGTGTTGACTCCAAAGCTACAGTCTTTAGGGTGGCGCAGGGCAGAGGCTGTCAGAGCAGAAAAAAGGGCAAGGCATCAGAAAGTCTCAGCGAGTGTCGCTTCATCCCAGCTCATCCTGCGTTTGTGAAGGGGAGGTGGGTGTGTGGAAGCTACAAAGCGTACATCAGAGTGGGTGTGAGACCAGAACTGAACACTTGCCTTGTCCCAGTACTTTAAAAAGTTGAGTTTGTTTGTGCTAAGTGCTGGAGATGTTTGATCCTCACCTCCCCCACTGTTACCCCACTCTAATTCTCACCATACTTTTCAGCAGGAGATACAGAGTGGGGGTGAGTAAGCCTGTTCCTATAAAACCCTCAGTGTGGGGTTTTATCCTGAAACCAGCACCAAGCAAAAAGTGGAGAACTTCTTCTTAAGTTGGCTTGACCCCCACACTGCTCCGCGTGTGCTGGATAGAAACAGGAAAACAAACACTTTAAGGCTCTGAATGGCAACCCCAGCATCTGTGTATGTCGTACGCCAGGAGTTGGGGTAGACAGGGCCAGAGGGGCAACATTCAAGAGAACTGCCTCCTAGAATCCTTCAAATTCAATATCCCGATGTTTGCAGAGCGCTTAAGGGTTGTTGCAAGACACTGCCACCGTTTGTTCCTTGCTAGTTAGGAAACATCTCTTTCACCCGAGGCATTTTCATTGGCAGTGCGAAGCACACCGAAATGAAACGGGCACTATCTCTACCCTCAGGGAAGTTCTAGTCCAGGTGTGGCATGAGGTTAATAATGAGGACTTTGGAGTCACACATCTGGATGGGAACTTAAACAAGTAACTCGATCTCGCAGCTCCCCGACTTTCCAACAGTAAAGTGAGTAACGCTTAGCTCATAGGGTCGCCGTGAGGATGGGTGAGCTCATGTATGTAAGCAATCGGTAAATAGTCGCTAATGTTATTAAGCGTCTGCGTGACGGTAATATGAGGGTAAAGATCATATAAGCGTGGGGGTTTTATGTTGTTTCCATTTCCTGAAGGGTTAGCATGCATTCCGGCACACGGTAGGCACCCCAGACCCGTGCTTTCAGCCCATGGAAAAAGAGGCCAGGGTGTGAGAGAAGGGAGGGTCCAGTGCTGCAGGGAAGCTTACCTGGGGACAGGAGAAAGCTTTCTGTAGACCCTTTCATGGCGCTCAGACTGGAACAAGTAAATTCCAGTTGGCAGGAAGGTTGGCAACTACAGGAAGATGCATGGCGTGATCTCTGTACCACTTTATCAACCATTCTGAAGTCACTGTACAGTTTATAAAAGACTTCCACCTTCAGGACCTCAGTTGAATCTCATGGAGCTATGGGTTAGCCAAATCTGAGAGTATGCTGAAACTCAGAGAGGTGATGGACCTTGCCCAAAGTTAGACAGCCTCTAGGTAATACAGCATAGATTTATCCATACCTTTGTGTCCTTATATAGGAATTCCACTCCATGCTTTTGCTCAAATATCTGATTTAATTCTCACAATGATCCCCGGAAGTGAGTGCTGTTACAGAATATGAAAAGGCTTTCATTCAGCTCAGTGCCTGGCGGATAAGAGACTCAATGAATGCTTTTGCTGTAATCATAATAATTCCCATTTTGCAGATGGAAAAACTAAGGTTCTACAGCATTTGCAGATTCATAATTTGTAAGGCTTTTAAGATGTGGGATTTGAGCCCCGGGTTGTCTGTTTCCATAAACTGTGCTCTTCGTGATAAACTTTGGCCGCTGTGCCTCCGGAGTCGTGTCCACTCCACGTGTCTCCTGTGTCAGCCTCCTGAAATTTGGAGCGAGAACCCATCAGCCTTTGTCTTCCTGCTGGAGTGCATCGGTCCTGCAAGAAAGCACCTCTCACCCTCTTGTTCCCTTTCTCCTCAGCTGTGTGCACTTCGCATGTGAGGCCGCAGACTGCCCAAAGCTGGCTGTGGAGAACGCTTGGCTCAACTGCTCTGGCGGTGACGGCTACCACGGCGCCCAGTGCACTGTGCGCTGTCGGACCGGCTACGTGCTCCAGATTCAGCGGGACGACGAGCTGATCAAAAGCCAGGTGTGTGTGGGTGCCGGGCGCAGAGGCCCACGAAAGGCTGAGTGGGTGTTGAACCTGCTCCCTGCTGAATCCTCAGCATTTGAAGCACTGCTGCGACATAGTGGAAGCCCAATAAAGAGGTGTGGGTTGAATGAAAGACTGCCTCAATCTGGGATTTCTGAGAACATGGTTCCCGTGCAGAGTAGTGATTCACATCACAGGTACCAGCATTGCCAGTGTAGGTTGAAAATCTGGAAAACCATGGGCTGAGCATGACTTTTGGGCTGAAACCCTCACAGTCAGAGCCCTGCTACAGTTGAGTGGGCTGGTTTCAGAAGAGGTGAGCCCCCTGTCAATGTGATGCTCATTCATTCATTCAAACATCTGTGCCCTGGGAACCAGATGTACTGTGTGTGTGTAAGTCGCTCAGTCGTGTCCAACTCTCTGCGACCCCATGGACTGCAGCCTGTCAGACTCCTCTTTCCATGGCGATTCTCCAGGCAAAAATACTGGAGTGGGTTGCCATGCCCTCCTCCAGGGGATCTTCCCAACCCAGGGATCGAACCCAGGTCTCCCGCATTGCAGGCGGATTCTTTACTGTCTGAGTCACCAGGTATGCTATACTAGGTGCTAGAGAAAAAAGTCACCAAGATGAACCTACTTCCTCCTCTTAAGGAGCTTGATGACTAGTGACCGGGAGCAGACGATGAGTGAGTCATGGCTGTACCGTGTGATAAACATTGTGAAGGGAAGTGCGGGGTGTTGTGGAAGCACAGAGGCAGTCAAGGAAAGCTCCCTGGAAGAGGTGATATGAAAACCGAGAACTGGAGACATAGGCAGAGGGTCGCGCATTCCAGCGAGGGAGGGGGGCAGGCTCTGGGCGTGGACCGGAATCTGTGGATGCCCGCTGGTGAGAAGGAGGGTACCGCAGACAGATGTTTGTTTTTCTGATCTTACCCAGGCAGTGAGGCTGGAGGGGCAAGCAAGGTGTGCTGATGTAAGGCTCTGTTAGCTTGGTCAGGGAGTGGGAGGGTCCTCTTCAGGGCAGCAGGGAGCTGTTGAAGGAAGTGACGTGGTCAGATCGTGGGTGATGAAGGTCCTTCCAGCGGCCCACATGGGTGTGGCTTGGAGTCCAGCCATGGTGGGGCGGCCTTGGGAAGAGGGCTGAGTCCTATATAAGGATAGTGGCCTCAGGTTGACTTAGATGTGGTGTAATGGTGCTTTCAGCCAGCGTGCCTGTGGGGTCTCAGTTGGGTGTGAGGAGGAGCAGGGAATTAAGCCCTGAGATTTGGGGATTCCATGTGCAGCCTCTTGTGGGACCCCACCAGCAGACTCCCCCTTCATGCTCTGGGTGAATGGGCACATTCTTTGTTGCTGGGAATGCCTGTTTGCACAGAGCTTCTGGGCATGCAAAGAGTCCCACTGAGGCGCCCTGGGGCCCAGTTGCTTAGACACCTGCTTCCGTGTGTCAGACACAGCAGGTCTGAACTCCTGTGAAAACAATTAAGCTGGCTTTGGCAGTGAGGGACCTTTCATTCCTTTGATGGGCGCTGAAGAGGGGAACAGTATCCCATGCTTTTGAAATCCCATCTCAACATTTGGCATCCCTGATCGCCTGGGATGTGGCAGCTTCTTCCTTGAATGGAGGCCCCCCGGGCTGGGCTGCCACGGACCAACCCTGCCTTGTCCCTGCAGCCTGGGCTTGTCCTTCTACCCCCAGCCGTGCTGTCTTCTAATGTGTGTTGAATCCCTGTCGACCCTTTCGTTTGCCTAGCCTCCTTCCTTCTTCACGTCCACCTCTCCCAGCTATTGAAGCATCATGTGTTGGAGCAGGGAGTGGCTCTTAGAGCAATGCTTGACTTTGATGCCAGTGAGGAAAGGGACTTGCCCACGGTCTCACAGCACCCAGAACCAAATCCCATTCCCCCATCCCCCCAGGGTGATGCCCACTCTGTGCCAAGCACCATCTCCCTTGCCCCCCCAGGGCCAGGGAAAGATCCAAAAGTTGAAATCTAGCATCCCACCCTTGTGCTGTGTTTCAGAGGCTATTTCATGAAAAGCAGTCCTCTGGCCCTGGGAAGTCTGAGCCTTAAGATTCGCAGCAATACAATGGAAATAACTATCTGGGAGACTCTCCAGAAAGCCATGCAGAGCCGTGTCTTTGCGCTTAATTCCCACTTAGCCTTTGTCCAGCTATGAAACTTGGAGCTAGTCACTTAATGTCTCTGAGCCTCAGTTTCAGCAGCTGTAAAGTGGGAGCTGAAGTACCTCCTTCAAACAGTTGCTGGGATCCCGGAAAGGGAGCTAAATGTGGAGCATGGATCTCCGGGTGCCGTAGCCCAGGGGAGAAGGGTTTTCCCCAGGGGTTGGGTTTCCGCCCGCCGCATCTCACGGTGCCCGCCTCCGTCTTCCAGACAGGACCCAGCGTCACGGTGACCTGTACGGAGGGCAAGTGGAGCAAGCAGGTGGCGTGCGAGCCGGTGGACTGCGGCGTCCCGGACCAGCACCACGTCCACGCCGCCTCGTTCTCCTGCCTCGAGGGCACCACCTTCGGCAGCAAGTGCTCCTTCCAATGCCGCCACCCGGCGCAGCTGAAAGGTACGAGACCCTGGGCCGCCTCCAGGCCCCCCGCGGGGACTCCACACCGGGGCTTGGACAGGGTGTCGTCTCTGCTTCTGGTCCCTGCCACCTGTTCTATGCAGACTGCCTTGTTGTGCAGCTGGGGAGAGAGTTGAGTGTGGACACGCATGGTGTCTCTGCTGCTGCTGCTGCTGAGTCGCTTCAGTCGTGTCCGACTCTGTGCGACCCCAGAGACGGCAGCCCACCAGGCTCCCCCGGCCCTGGGGTTGTCCAGGCAAGAACACTGGAGTGGGTTGCCATTTCCTTCTCCAGTGCGTGAAAGTGAAAAGTGAACGTGAAGTCGCACAGTCGTGTCCAACTCTTTGCGACCCCATGGACTGCAGGCCACGAGGCTCCTCCGTCCATGGGATTTTCCAGGCAAGAGGACTGGAGTGGGGTGCCATTGCCATCTCTGATGGTGTCTCTAAGATCTGGCAAAAGAGGAAAGAGAAAAGCAGGAAGGGAGGGAAAGTGGAAGGAAAGAGAAGATTCTAAGAAAATAGCATCTGGAACTGATGTGACTAGTTCATTGGGTGGGGTGAGGGTCCGGTAAGTCTAAGGGGAAAGTATTATTATTATTTTAATTTTCACGGAGGAGAAACTCAAGGTTCAGAGTTGAAAGAACTTTTCCAAGGCCATGCTGTTACTGGAGGGCTCCACCATGGGGCCCAGGTCTGTCTTTCTCCAAAGCCCACTGCTGCCCTTTAGGAAGGGCTAGCTCCAAGGTGAGTCACTCTAGGAGGGAAGAGCTAATGGGCATCTCTTGGGCTAGGTGCTGGGATATTCAGGTGAGAAGACATAGTCTGGCAAACGGGAGAAGAGGACCCATGTTGGAAATGAGTGAGAGGCTGGCCTGGGCGACCTAGTCTCTCCAAGGGCTCTTTGAACTAGGCAAGGGTAACTGATTACTGGACGGATGATGAAACTGAGGTGCAGTGATAAGAAGGAGGGAACTTGCACAGAATCACACAGCAAGTTAGCAGCAACATCAGAATAACTCTCTTGGCTTCTGGTTGAGTGTTAGGTTTGGGCATTATACCCAGTTTTCGTAGGTAGAAGGACTTTCCTTTGTTTGGCTTATCAGAGGAAACATTGTCCCTTCATCAGATAACCAAAATGATAACTCACTAAGCATGGGTCCTACCTTGGGATCCATCATGGGAATGAGCGGACTACTGTGTGTTGTGTGGGGGTTTAGAGGGAGGTCTGTAAATTCCCTTCAACTTAGATGTCATATTGGAGAAGGAAATGGCAACCCACTCCAGTATTCTTGCCTGGAAAATCCCATGGATGGAGGAGCCTGGTAGGCTACAGTTCATGGGGTCACAAAGAGTCGCACATGAGTGAGCAACTTCACTTTCACTTAGATGTCATATACAAATTCATGAGTTTCCAGGCATTTGGATGATTGTAGAGGGTTGATAGTGTCTCCAAGTTTTCAAGAAGATGTAGAACGCCAAAGGATTACTACACATAGTAAGACTCAATAAAGTGTATGGACTGGGCAACTGAATGAGTTGATGAAAGTAAAACCACAGGAAATGTTTCTTTTAAGAAGTGAATGAAGGACCCAGCTATCTCACTAAACTGCCCCCAAAGAGAAGCAGAAAACACTTCTGGGATACATCCTTTCCTATTGTTCAGTTGCTCGGTCATGCCTGACTCTTTGCAACCCCATGAACTGCAACACACCAGTCTTCCCTGTCCTTCACCATCTCCTGGAGTTTGCTCAGACTCACATCTATTGAGTTGGTGATACTATCCAACCATCTCATCCTGTCTCCCTCTTCTTCTCTTGCCCTCAATCTTTCCCAGCATCAATGTCTTTTCCAATGAGTCGGCTCTTTGCATCAAGTAACCAAAGTCCCCTCATATTTTTAGCCAAGAAGATTTGAGTGTAAAAGTTATAGACATTTTATTTGAGCTGCCCTAGAGATTGAGATCTGAGAGAGACGAAGAGACCAGTGAAAATTGCAAAGCCTCCACCTTATCTGAGCCTGTCCCTGGTTCCATCTGCTCAGACATGGGGCTTATTAATAACTCCAGACTAGGACATCACAGTTCCCCTCTAAGTCAGGTGTATAAATCAGGGAGGTGTATAAATCAGCATTATTAGCCACAATGAGGGCTGCAATAATAATCCTTAATCAAAGTGATTCTCTGTCATTGCTTCCCTGCTTACTGTGGTGGAGGGATGACCTCACTGTGGAGATGTGACCCTAGAAGGACTGTCATTTTGATGGTGTTGATCCCCACTTTCATCGTCCCTTGAGGATGCAGGGCAGGACCCACTGACGCACCGTGCCCTTGGTTCTCAGCATCATCAGATGCTCAGATTCCAGGTCCAGTGCTTTGGCTTGGGTCTGCTGGCGGCAAAGGCTGGGCAGAGGTCCTGGTCCTCTCTCTTGAGCTTGTTAATAATTCTTTGCTTCTTAAGCCAAAAGATAAAGTGAAAGCATTAGTCACTCAGTCATGTCCGACTCTTTGTGACTCCATGGACTATAGCCTGCCAGGCTCTCTGTCCATGGAATTCTCCAGACAGGAATACTGGAGTGGATAGCCATTCCCTTCTCCAGGGGATCTTCCCAACCCAGGGATTGAACCTGCATTTCTAATGTTTTCTGCATTGGCAAGCAGGTTCTTTACCATCTTGGCCGGCAGGGAAGCCCAAAGTGAAAGTCCCTCAGTCGTGTCCAACTCTTTGTGACCCCACGGATTGTAGCCCACCAGGCTCCTCTGTCCATGAAATTTTCCAGGCAAGAATACTGGAAAGAGTTGCCGTTCCCTTCTTCAGGGAATCTTCCCAACCCAGGAATCAAACCCAGGTCTCTTGCACTGCAGGCAGATTCTTAACTGAACCACTAAGGGTGATCAAAACGAAATTTCCCCCCATTTCTTGTCTGCGTCCCTTTATGCTCTTTGCTTTTCCTTCCCCACAGCAAGATTTAAGCAAAAGGAGTGTGAGCTTTCATCTTTCATCAGACAGAGAGGGATTGAACTCTTTGTTCTGCCCCAGCTGCCTGATCTCAGGAGATGAATTTCACATTGGGAGATGTTAGTAGATCCTAGAAGAGCAATTTCACATCCTTGAGCCTCAGTACTCTCATCCGTAAAATGGGTGTAAGAGCATCCACATTGAAGGGTTATGGTGAGGATTAAAGGTGGTGGTATGAATAAAATTGCCAGAACCAGAGTAAGTACTTAGTAAATACTCATCCCCAAGAGGCACTCTTGTGAGAATTAGGCAGTGGCTGCCCTCTTGACCCCTGACCTCTTTATCCCATGGAGGCCTTAGTCCTGGGACCTGTGGAGACTTGCTCCATCCTCCACATTCCACTCAGGACCTAGAGGTTAATGTGCTTGGACCAGAAGCCCCCACTCAGGAGAAGCGCTGAGTGTGGCCCCAAGGCCAGTGTAATGCAGATATTAATAGCACCACAAACACACCAGTCCCTTAGAATCTAGGTGAACTTTTCTCGAATATCCTGACCTTCCCTTAAGTTCTGAGCCCTCATCAAGATGTCCACAAAATACCCTGCAAACCCATAGCTCTGGAGTCATTCCTGCCCGGGCCCTTTATCACACCAGCACTAACAGCACCCACTGCACCTACACACATGCACGAGGAACAAAGTTCTCTCAAGTTTAAAAGAAAGAACCTTCGTCTCAGAATCATAAATGTTTAACTCAATGGCTAAAAATGCATCGTTGCATCCATGACCTTGTCAGCTTCAACTCAACCGTGTGAGGTACACTGGATGTTGATTCTGGAGCGGGGCTTCTAAAGCAAGCATGCTCTCATTCCACAAAGATCTTTCCAGGGACTTCCCTGGTGATCCAGTGGCTTAGACTCCATGCTTCCACTGCAGGGGTGTGGATTTGGTCCCTAGTCAGGGAACTTAGATTCCACATGCCATGCAGCTCAGCCAAAAAAACAAAAAATAGTCTTTCTAAAAGGCCCACTGTCTACTTCTATCTAAGGCCCAAGATTTAAACTCGGCCTATTCACTGGTTTCCAGAAGACACTCAGTACCATGGAGCATTTTCTGGTTTCTTAGACTCTACTGTACTGATGAGCGGAATGGCCATGTTCTTCAGTGTCCAGCAGTTAACCTTCCTGCCAGCCTCCCACTCTCTTCCTTGCCCCTTGCCCTCTCCCTCAGAGTCCGGTCCTGATCTTTCTCCCTCCAGGAATTTCACATCTTTTCTCCTCTCTCAGGCAGAGACCCTTTCATCTCTCTCAGAAGCAGATAGCCAGAGACCTGGAGGATTCAACTTTATCCTAAGGGTCTCATCAAGGCATCTTTCCCACAAAAACAGGGTCTCCACCAAAGAGGACGTCTCATATCACTGCTAAGAGAAGGCTACTCTCCTCTTATCATCCTAGTGCTTTGGAGGTAGCAGAGTCTAGAATGTCCCTGGGTCCCAGCCACCACTGGGTGTTAATGGTAAGTGTTAGTTGCTCAGTTGTATCTGGCTCTTTGTGACCCCATGGACTACGCTGTCCGTGGAATTCTCCAGGCAAGAATACTGGAGTGGGTTGTCATTTCCTATCCAATAGTGGTTAATGGTAAACCACTACCCAATCCTTCCTGGGGACAGATGAGCACCGTGGAAAAGAAAACTTATTCAAGATCACACAGCTGCTCATGACACCGTCTTTAGAGGTGAGCAGTGATAAGAGGAAGCAACAGATTTCTTTTCTCTCTTAGATAATTCTTCTGTCTCCCTCATCCCCCACCTCCACCTTCACTTCACTCTGAACAGTGCTCAGGTTTCAAAAGTCAAGCGTATTCTCACCTCAGGGTTCTTAGCTGCTCATCCAGAATTCCTTTGACCTTTTCTGAACCATGCCTCTCAACCTAGTTGTTGCCGTTCAGTCACTAAGTCATGTCTGACTCTTTGTGTCCCCGTGAATTGCAGCACGCCAGGCTTCCCTGTCCTTTACTGTATCCTGGACTTTGCTCAAACTCATGTCCATTGAGTCGGTAATACCATCCAACCATCTCATCCTCTGTCACCCCTTCCTCCTCCTGCCCTCAATCTTTCCCAGCATCAGGGTCTTTTCCAATGAGTCTGCTCTTTGCATCAAGTGGCCAAAGTATCGGAGCTTCTCCAGCCAGAGCTGGGAGAAGCCAGAAGTCATCAGTTCATTTTGCCATGCAGAAACTGAGGTCCAAGAGAGGAAGGCATTCATGAAAGGTCATGTATGCATTACCATGAGCACTGGGGCCAGAAAGTGACCCAGGGGTCCCTACCCCAGAAGAGGCGCCCTCTTGCCAGGCATTCCATTCCCAGCAGGCTTGTGAAATCATCTGACTTGCACACTCCCAGCCCCTGTTATGGCAGCTGTCCAACATTCCAGGCTCTTTCCTCTCTTAGGACAGTACCCATTCGTTATCCCTGACTGTGACTGCATCTTAGCACATTCTTCTTCTCCTTTGTGTCTAGCATGGAGAGCATTTCAGTGCAGACATGTGGCAGTGAGAGACGCCATTCTGGACGGTGGGAACAGGAGGGATGCTGAAATTGTATGATTCGTCTTGTTTTTGAGATACTCCACACATTCATGTTTCTGGTTCCATGAGGTTTTTCTCCAGGCGGCAGTTCCTCTGTGGCCATACCCTTGGGTAAAAGCTCTGTGGTGTGGTCAAGGGAGCACTCAGGGGTCAGACACAGCTGGAGTGAAGGCCAGCTATAGTTGGAGAAGCTCACTTTTCGCTCCGGGACTCAGTGTTCCCACCTGCAAAATGAGATTAAGGACAAATTGGGTCACTGGAAGGATCAAGGAGATGGGGCCAGTCATTCTTCCTATGCCTACCTCATGGACTCTACAAATGTGATTTGTCCTTATCCCAGTCCAGCTAGCTGTGTTTTTGCTTTCTTAATTCAGTGGCCAATGCCCTTCCACATCCTAAAATATTAGAACTGGACAAGAACTTAAAGATGGCTTTGGCCTAGGGCCAGAGAAGTCAGGTGACTTGTTCAAGGTCACAGTAAATTCATAATACTCCAGGCTTCCCCGGTAGCTTAAGAATCTGCTAAAGAATCTGCCTGCAGGGCAGGAGACTTGAAGGAGATGTGGGTTCAGTCCCTGGGTTGGGAAGATCCCATGGAGAAGGAAATGGCAACCTGCTCCAGTATTCTCACCTAGAAATCCCCATGGACAGAGGAGCCTGTGGGGCTATAGACCGTGGGGTCACAGAGTCGGATATCACTGAGTGGCTAAACAATAGCAGTATGTATTCAACAAGTGGACACTTAGGGCTTCCTGGATGCTTGGCTGGAGAAGGAAATGGCAACCCACTCTAGTGTTCTTGCCTAGAGAATCCCGTGAACAGAGGAGCCTGGTGGGCTGCTGTCCATGGGGTCACACAGAGTTGGACACAACTGAAGCGACTTAGCATGCATGCATGTATGCTTGGCACTGGGGTGGGTTCTGGGAATAAAAGAATGAACAAGGTGCAGTCCCAGCCCTTAGGATGTGGGCGATGCCAGCACAATCAACGAGGCATTAAAAATAAACAGACCTAGATCTCCCGGCATTTCCCTCCTCCCATTCTAACCAAGGTTAGTTTCAGTCTTAAAGGTATTCTCAAGGAACATGATCTTCTGGGTACTCTTTACAGCAAAATAATAAAAGTAGATTTATTTCTTTTGATAGTACATTTGTAATCATTTTAATACTCACTGGAGATTGAAATTTCCTTAGCCACATTTGTAGACAGTCTGAACAAGATTTGTTTCCTTGACTTTGAAAGTTGAACAGACAAAAGTACAGTGTGACATCACTCTCTGAAACCTAGTCTCTGCCTTCAGCATTCTTACCCTCAGCCAGGGACTCCAGGCTCAGAAACGCCTTCACCTCTTGTCCAGAGTCATGTTCCCCCAAGAAACATAGTGAGAGGAAGACATGGAAATGATAGAAGCATCAGGGCTCCTCCAAAGCCACCCCCCTGTGGACAGCCTGGCTCAGTCCTTCTGGGAACGCATGGGAGACAGGGCAGGATTATTCCTCTGAGTTCCCGTAACTCGGGCAATTGTCGTGTTAATGCACCAGCCCCTTCACTGGTTTGGGCGCTACTTCTATGAGCGTTGACACCTCAGCACTGTGAGCCTGCCCCGCATGCAGGCCAAACACCCCTGATAGAGCGAAAGACCTCCAGCAGCAAACAGCTGTGGGTGCAGTAGGCGTCCTTCAGCATATGAAGGTCAGGGCCAAGGGCACGTGGGAAGGGCGTGGACAGCTGCATCCTACCCTGCTTTCTTCAGAGCCCCATGGAGGCTGCAGGGTGGGGGCCACAGCTGGGGCCAGGAAATGCTGATTCTGCGCACTTACGTGTCTGCCATGGTGTGGGGCATGTCCATGGTCCTGAATCACCAGCTCTGGTGTTAACATTGTTCTTCTGACTGCAGTGCTCGCTGACCCCTATTTACCCTCTCAAAGAATGTACATTTCCTCTCTGCCTTTTCTCTCTTGATTAACCTTTTGCGATTTTTCTGTTAGCTCACCACCAGAGAACCACAACGTCCACTTCACAGTCTAGGGTTTACCTAGCTGATAGGGTGTACTTGTAAAGCATCTTGACCCTTTTTCCAGAGGCGTTTTATCCTTCCTGGGATATTTAGAGAGGGTAGGGCTCCCTTTATCTTTTGTGGCTCCCAGTCTCCGCTAAGCTCTTGCTGAACCCAGGCACTCCAACACTGCCTTCATCACAAGACCATGCAAAAAATAATAATAATAATGCAATTTACAATCTCGGGTGTGCTGGAGCCATCTCTGCTTCTATAGGAACCAAATGAGCCACTCTTCCACACCCTTTATTCTTTTTACTTGATGTAGAAATGTCTGTAGGGAGCAGTGTCACAGGTTATCACGTGGAGTCCTCTGTGTGGCTTACAGACCCTGAGTTGCCTTGGGGTCCCCAGGTTACTCACACAGATACGGGAGGAGGAAGAGGACAGTGAGCAGAGAACGAAGCCGCAGAGGCGCCTACACACGCTCTCATCTTTTTTTCCTGTTTTATTTCTCTCCGTAGTTCTTTCCGTCTTCTACACACCAAACAGTTTGCTTTTTTAAAAAGGTAATTTCTTATCGGTATCCCACTAGAATATAAGCTCCAAGAGGGCAGGGTTTGGGGTTTGGTTTGTTTTGCCTTGTCTCCACATAGACAAGAGTAGCTGGCACAGAGTGAGCACTAAAGAGATGCTTGTTGAATGAAGTGTGTGTGTGTGTGTATGTGTGTGTGCTAAGTCACTTCAGTCGTGTCCAACTCTTTACTACCCCATGGACTGTAGCCCACCAGGCTCCTCTGTCCATGGGGATTCTCCAGGCAAGAATACTGGGGTGAGTTGCCATGCTCTCCTCCAGGACATCTTCCCAACCCAGGGATCGAACCCACATCTCTTACATCTCCTGCATTGGCAGGTGGGTTCTTTACCACTAGCACCACCTGGGAAGCCCCGAATGAATGGAGGTTCTCATGCAACTCCTGTGATCCTTTCAGAGCTGCTGCCATGCCTTCCTCCAGGGGATCTTCCCAACCCAGGGGTTGAACCCGGGTCTCCCGCATGGCAGGTATTTTCTTTCCTGTCTGAACCACCAGTGGAGCCCAGGAATACTGGAGTGAGCAGCCTACCCTTCTCCAGGGGAACTTCCTGATCCAGGAATCACACCAGCATCTCCTGCATTGCAGGCGGATTCTTTACCAGCTGAGCTACCGGGGAAGCTTACCCTGCCAATTACTGGAAAGCAAGTGCCTTCATCTCTGGGCTCAGATGCAAAGCAGGGAGGATGGAGGAAAGTGTGGATAAAAAGATGCGCAAAGTGAGAGTTGCCAGTTAAGTTTCATTTGCAGCAAAATGAGGATGGCAGTCCAGGAGGCAGGACTTCAGACAGCTCTGAGGGACCGCTCCGAAGAGGCAGTGGGGAAGGTTCATATGTCAGATTCTGGTGAAGGGGGAGTTCAATGTAATCAAGTTCTTACTTTATAGAAGATTTTCTGTTAGTCACGAGGAGCTGATGTCACCATGAAGGGATTTAGTGATTTCCTAGATAGGAAGAGATCCAAGGATTGGGATCATGAAATCAGTTCCTGAACACATCTAACTATCTAAAGACTTGTTCCACCAGTTTCCTTGGAGCACAGAGTGCCTCGCCCCCCTCCCTGAGTTCCCCTCAGGGGGTGTTGAAGGTCAGGTCGGCAGCTGCAACCGCATGGGGTTCAATCTCTGCACAGGCAGGTGGCAAATGCCCTTCTTGTTGTCGTTCAGTCACTGGCAAATACTTGTGGCAAGTGTCCATTTGTAGTTGACAAGGATCATGCAGTTCCCTTGTCTGTGCAATATAAGAGGTTTCAGAATCAGAAGTCAGGAGCCTTGAATTGGATTCACTGTTGACATGGGTATGTCAGTCCCCAAGTTGTCTCTCCCTTTTCTTTTTTCTTTTTTCTATTTTTTTTTATTTTGTGGCAGCTCTTTCTACTCCCTACACTCCTCAGTTGAAGGTGGAAGGGGCTGGAATTGCACGTGGAAGTGTCTCTGGTTCTTCAGGTTGACCTGAGTCCAGGCAGCGCGTGGATTAGCTGGCCTCGCAGAGCCTCCCCACCTGCCGCCTCCACTAACACTGCCTGCCTGTGTCCTGCAGGCAACAACAGCCTCCTGACCTGCATGGAGGATGGGCTGTGGTCCTTCCCGGAGGCTCTGTGCGAGCTCATGTGCCTGGCTCCGCCCCCGGTGCCCAACGCGGACCTCCAGACGGCCCGGTGCCGCGAGAGCAAGCACAAGGTGGGGTCATTCTGCAAGTACAAGTGCCGGCCTGGATACCATGTGCCCGGCTCCCCCCGGAAGTCAAAGAAGTAAGTGGGGCTGCAGAGGCAAGCTCCCGGCGGCTGGAGCTGGCGGGGGGACAGGGGGAGCCAGGTCTGTCTAGTTAGAAGGACGTGCCCGCTTCTCTGCCCACCGTCATCCCGTGCTCTTCCCTGGGACTCTGGGGGGCCATTGTCATCAGCTGCTTGCTGACTGTGTGACCTGAAGTCAGTGACTTCTCTTCTCTGGGCCTCTGTTGTTGAGCAATGCGATGGGGAGGATGATAACAGTCTCTGCATTAGATGGGGGTGAAGGATGAATGAGGATGTGTATGTGACGTGCTCGCAAAGTGCGTGGTACACAGCAAATGGTGGGTATCCATACCATCCCTGTGTCAGCCCCCATCAGCGCCCCTGGAAGGAAGTGGGGGGAAATGGGCCAGCAGGGCTTGATTTTATTTCATTCCACATGAAACTCTTGCTCGGCCCCAACGGAAGAGTTCTGTGAACATTCACCTTAACCCCTCCTCACTCCCTCCATCACCCAATAGGATGAGCAGGGACTCAGGAATCAGAAAGGCACATGTGAGGCCAGCTGGCTCCAGAGACTGTGGGTGTCTTGGTAGAGTGTGGCTGCAGCCGTTTGGTCCTTGAGATGTCTCTACTTTCCATCTCTTCCTGAAAGACGGGCCTTCAAGACCCAGTGTACCCAGGATGGCAGCTGGCAGGAGGGAGCTTGTGTTCCTGTGACGTGTGACCCTCCTCCACCGAAATTCCACGGGCTGTACCAGTGCACCAATGGCTTCCAGTTCAACAGTGAATGCAGGATCAAGTGTGAAGACAGCGATGCCACCCAGGTGAGGCCCCTTGAATTTGGATTCAACACTTGGATCCCTTTCCCCTCTGTTTACTAAAGACCAGCCAGGATTTAAGAACCACATCCTCCAGGAAACTCCCTGCGGATGCCAGAGTTAATAGCAGTATCACCCACGCAGAAGTTTAGGAGCTGGGTTCCCTGCATCATCCTTTGTAATCTCTCTGAACCTAGTGCTCCTACCCATCACACTGCATGTTACTGGCTCAGAGATTCTTAGCTTTGAAAAAAATTCTCAGTATTAGGAATCTTATGAAAGAAATCATAAGTGAAATCCTGATGTCTGAACTTGATCCAAGGTAAGGTGTGACCGAGGCTGTTTTGTTGACTTTTTACCACCATCACCACTTACGTTGCTCTGACATATTGAGAATCATGATTTCCACTATCTGGAGACGTCAGTGGCTCCTCAAGCATTTGGAGAAAGGGAGCCGTATTTAGGCTAGATGTACAGTTTTGAGACTACTGAAGAAGGATGGAAGGAGATGGCAGGGACTGGATTTTATCTCAATCCACGTGTACCTGAGGCAGAGTTCATCACTCCCACCAGCCCTGCTGAGGGAGTTCTGTGAATGGCATTTCCTTAATCCTTACACCCACCCACCTCCACCCACTAAGACAGGCAGGGAATCAAGAATGGGAACGAGAATGAGGAACCAGCTGGCTCCAAGGAAGACTTAGGTCCACAAGGAGCTCCAGCCCTGAGAGGACCCTCCATTTAGGGTGGATGCCTCAAGCCCCATGACTCATGGGTGGGCAAGGATCTTTACTCAGGTGAGGCCAGAGTTCAGCCAACTTGTCAGTCCTTAGTGGGTGTTCAGTTCAGTACAGTTCAGTCGCTCAGTTGTGTCCAACTCTTTGCAACCCCATGAACCACAGCATGCCAGGCCTCCCTATCCATCACCAACTCCTGCAATTTACCCAGACCCATGTCCATTGAGTCAGTGATGCCATTCAAACATCTCATCCTCTGTCATCCCCTTCTCCTCCTGCCTTCAATCTTTCCCAGCATCACAGTATTTTCATATTAGTCAGCTCTTCACATCAGGTGGCCAAAGGATTGGAATTTCAGCTTCAGCATCAGTCCTTCCAATGAACACCCAGGACTGATCTCCTTTAGGATGGAGTGGTTGGATCCCCTTGCAGTCCAAGGGACGGTCAAGAGTCTCCTCCAACACCACAGTTCAGAAGCATCAATTCTTCGGTGCTCAGCTTTCTTTATAGTCCAACTCTCACATCCGTACATGACCACTGGGAAAACATCTACCAAATACTAGACACCGTTGGAGCAACATCCTCAGCTCCTCTCACTCACATTCCCACCTCCAGATAGCCACTGACTGCTGCCCATTCTGATCTCCTGAACTGTCCTTATCCAAGGCCACCAGCCTAACTCAGGCCAGCAGCATCACTCTCCTGGCCCACATGCAGCTTCCCGACCAGCCCTGCCTTCTCCTTGCCTCTCCAGCATCCTGTCCACATCACAGCCAGAGGGGCTTGTTGATAGCACACATGTGATCATGACAGTTCCCCTGCTCAAAGTCCTTTGTGAACCAGCGACCCTGTCTCCCTTGGAAAGAATCTCACCTGTGCATTCAGCATATCTCCCCCATCACAGTAAGACAGATCTCCCCCTTCGTCTGGGTGTTCTCTGTGAAAGAAGCCCTGTCAGCTTTTCCAGCCTTACTGTCCTTCATTCAGCCCAGGCACCCCTTCTTCCTGACCTCTTCCTGCCCCTCCCACTGTGGACTCTCTGCCCCTGCGTCACGGCACTGACCATGCTGCGTTGGATTTCACTTCACTCTCCCCCACTAGATTTGGGGGCTTCCCAGGTGGATCAGATGCTAAAGTGTCTGCCTGCAATGCAGGAGACCCAGGTTCGATCACTGGGTCGGGCAGATCCCCTGGAGAAGGGAATGGCAATCCACTCCAGAACTTTTGCCTGGAAAATTCCATGGACGGAGGAGCCTGGTGGGCTACAGTCCAAGGGGTTGCAAAGAGTTGGACACGACTGAGCGACTTCACTTTCACTAGGTTTTGCCATCCCTGACCACAGCTTTTGCCTTCCCTGTGTTTTCAGCACTGGGGACGGTGCCAGGCACCTAGTAGGTGCTCAGAAAGTGACGGGGCTTGAGACCCTCCGCAGACGTCAAGGCCAGTCTCCCCGTTTTCCAGCTGAGACAGGCACTCAGCCACCCAAGGTGACGCAGCTGGTGTCAGCTGAATCCGAATCGGAACCCAGGTCCCCCGACTGTGGACAGTGCGCAGAGCGAGTCCAGGAGGCAGTCCCTGTCGGGGAGGCGGGCTTAGGGCTTCTGTCTGTGTACCCGGGTCCTTCCCCTTCCTCAGCTGCCAGGGAGGCAGAAGCCGGGGCCGGAACAAGCAAAGGCCAGAGATTACCACGGCCTCACGCAGCCGATCAACTTCCCTCTCGCTCCCTTACATAAAACTGTTGCTAACAGTTACCCAAACGGCTGAGCCAAATACTATTCTGGCTGTGGTCGTGTTATCAAACTGAAACCCAGTCTGCCTGGGGCCTGCCAAGTACCTTTCATGGCCAGTTTGTATTTAAAGGAGAGGAAAATGTAAATTTATCAGACGACTCACGCGGTCCTGTTTGGCAACTGGCGGGGAGGCCAGACGCTAAGGAGCAGGGTATTGCTTGCCGGCTAAGGAATGAGGGAGCGCGTGCCAAATGGGCTCCTAATACAATTGACGTTTCTAGTTTGTGCTGCAAATGAATTTCCTCTACCCTCAGACCAGGGGCCTGGGAGCCAAATCTAGTATTCACCTCAGATCCCCTCTCGCTGCCTGTAAACATAGTCAAAACGTACGGTGCAGAGTATCTTGAACAGCGTGTATATGGAGCGGGAATTATTTGCTTTCCAAACAAGCTCCAGATCCTGGCAAGGGAGGACAGGGGCTGTTGAAGGGGAGGTTTGCATACTCCTTCTCACTGCTACTAAAAGCAAATGAACAAATCAAACCTCAACTTCATTCATTCCTAGGGAGCCACTATGATGCTGGATCCAGACTCTGAGTTTGAATCTTGGCTTTACCACTTACTAGCTGGTGGACTTGGGCAAGTTATTTAACTCTTTAAGCTTCAGTTTCCTCAGGCTTAAAATGGGGGAGGGGAAGCAATTCTGGCTACCTCTTAGTTTATTTGTGAGGATTAACTGAGTCAATGAAAGTAGGACTGCTGCTGCTGCTAAGTCACTTCAGTTGTGTCCGACTTTGTGGGACCCCATAGATGGCAGCCCACCAGGCTCCCCCATCCCTGGGATTCTCCAGGCAAGAACACTGGAGTGGGTTGCCATTTCCTTCTCCAGTGCATGAAAGTGAACAGTGAAAGTGAAGTCACTCATTTGTGTCCGACTCTTTGCGACCCCATGGACTGCAGCCCACCAGGCTCCCTTCGTCCATGGGATTTTCCAGGCAAGAGTACTGGAGTGGGGTGCCATTGCCTTCTCCGTGAAAGTGGGGCAGGCCTGTGGAATTGTGCAGTGTGCAACCCTGCACACCCCCCACACATAAAATGCCTTCCCAAGCAGGGGCAGCTTCTAGGTTCAGGGTCGTCACATGCTTGCCCAAGGATGCAAGGTTTCCTAGAGGAAGTCAGAGACATCCCAAGCCCATACGATATTAGAAGTGGGCTGGACCTCAGGGTTTTCCCACTGCAACCCGCTTATTTTATAGATGGGACCACTGAAGCCCAGAGAGGGGAGCATCATACCTCAGGTCACACAGCAAGTTAGTAGCGGAGTCAGATATCCTAGCCAAGTCATTGCACAAACCACATTCTCTGCCCAGCCTGACCCCTGCAGCTGCGTGGCTCCGTGTCAGCCCTGTATCTCACTGGGAGGAAGCAAAATGCACCTGAGGCCATTGACTAGACACAGAGGCAGATAATAAGCAACAGCTGCGATTTATTGAGCATGTACTCCATGCCAGTCTGGGCTAATTGCTTTGTACAGACGTTTAAGCCCCACGGTGTCTGGCATCACTGTCCCATTTTGCAGATGAGGAAGGTGTGTTTTGGTGAGTTAAGGTGTCTTGCCCACCTTATACAACCAGGAGGAAGTCCAGGCAGAACTGAGATTTCTGTTATCAGGCCAGGCTGCCTCCTTTGTATCTTGTGGCTCACTGTGTAGTTCTGCCCTGATGGTTGGATGGCATTACCTACTCAGTGGACATGAGTCTGAGCAAAGTCCGGGAGATGGTGAAGGACATGGAAGCCTGGCGTGCTGCGGTCTGTGGGGTCACAAAGAGTCGGACACAACCGAACGACTGAGCTGAATTGCTCTGTTGCTGTCATATTTCTCTGCCATTGTTTTGTTAGTTTCCATTTGTGCTAACTAGGAGCAGCACGGGTCTCCCTGTCCGCGCATCCCCCAGCCTCTCCTCCCCATCTCTGCGCCCTGGCGCTGTAGCAAAGCGCAGAGGCTTACAGGGAAAAGCCTGGCTCCGGCCCTGCCGCCTCCCGATTCTGACGGCTGCCGTTTCTCAAATGCGGGTGATGCTTGGGCTGATGCTAAAGTTCCCTTTGAGACAGTGCAAGAGAGTGGTTAAGAGCTCAGCTAACCCTTAGAGAGCCTGATCTGTGTGTTAAGCTATAAATGCCTTCACATAGCCTAACTCACTGATCCCCGTGATGACTTTCTCAGGCAGCGAATTCCAGGCTCATTTAACAGGAAACCAAAGCAGAGAGAAGTTAAGGAGCTTCCCTGAGTCTGCACAGTGGGAAGGTTGCAGAGATGGAACTGGAACCTGGGAAGTCTGACTGAAGTCCAGACTCTTAACCAGCACACCAGCATCATTTAAAAGCTCACCTTTTCACTTCCTGGCTGAGCCTCAATTTTCAAATCTGTAAAAAGGACATGATTTCCGCAGTAACTGCACTGTTAAAAGCGTTTTTAACTGCGTATAAAACACTGGGCACATATAGATATCTGATACCGTATTATGTGCTTTTGGCTTCTTGTGGACCCGTGTAGTTAAAGAGGAGCTGAGAAAGCATAGTATGCTTCTTTTAAATTTTTATGTATTTATGTATCTGGGGCTGTGCTGGACTTTGGCCTCTCGTTGCAGAGCATGGGCTCTGGGGCACACGGGCTTCAGCGGTTGCAGCCCAGGGACTCCAGAGCACAGGCCGCGTAGCTGCAGTGCGTGGGCTCGGTCGCTCCATGGCAAGAGGGATCGTCCTGGATCAGGGCTCAAACCCGTGTCTCCTGTATTGGCAGGCAGAGTCTTTACCACGGAACCAGCAGGGCAGCCCCACACAGTATGCTGTTTTGCAGATGGAGACACAGGCGCAGAGAGACAAGATGCTTTGCTGAGAGATGCTCAGCCCTCTGGCGTTAAATTTCACCCTAGCATGCAGCACTGTGCATTCAGAGATGCACCATGGGTCCCCTGGCCTCTGGTCTTCCCAGATTGGATCCTCCGTGTCAGTGGATCCAGTGGGTCCCTTGGCCGCTGGTCTTCCTGGATTGGATCCTCAGTGTCAGTGATCCAGTGGGTCCCCTGGCTGCTGGTCTTCCAGATTGGATCCTCTGTGTCAGTGGGTCCAGTGGGTCCCCTGGCCTCCAGTCTTCCCAGATTGGATCCTCAGTGTCAGTGGGTCCAGTGGGTCCCCTGGCCTCCGGTCTTCCCAGATTGGATCCTCCATGTCAGGCCTTCTGTGGTCACACTGGGCTCAACAGCCTGGCTCTGCTCCGAGCATCTGCACCCAGGTGATAGGCAGGCCTAAGTGCACCCAAACCTTTTCCCAAAGGAGGACATGAAATCCAGAGTGGCTCCGGGAAGTCTGCCATGTAGAAGCCACCAGCAGGGCCAGAGGTGTGGTGGTGGGAATCAAAAGAAGTGTGCGGGAGAGACAGGTGACCTCAGACGTGAAGGAAGGAAGTGTGCGTAGCAAGAGAAGGGGCTGGACGTGTCATCTGGGTCCCACTCTAGAAGCCCTGGCTGCCGGCCCTCAAGCAAGCCTGGTTTGAAAGTGCAAGGTATCTTAGCAGAAGGAGTCTATCCTTTGTGACGCTGCTTCAGTCAGCAGCAGAAAGCGCCAGATGAGCTGGGCAGGAGGGAGAGAGACCAGAGTCAGCAAGACCAGAGCGCCTTTATGCTCCCCTCTTCTGTAGTGGCGCCTCCCCGGCATGAAACTCCCTGCGCAGATTCCAGCCGGTCCTAATACATTCTCTGTTGCAAACCCAGCTCCCAGCCAGCTCTGGCCCACGCAGCGCTGAGGTCTGCAGCCCTTCGGGGCCTGGAGGCCAAGTGCACCATAGGCCAAGGCTCCAGGAAATTGGGGTCAATTTCCTACTCCCCCGAGGGCCCAGCAGAATCACGGGGCCTGGGGCTCTGGGAGGGAGATTCAGGGTTCTCTGAAGCCATAGGAAGTTGCCTAAACTTTCCCCATGCTCACACGGAACCTCTGGGTGGACTCAGCCATCACCCCACAGCTGTGGGCGCGGGATGGGCCACCCTTCTCCGTGGCCACAGAGGTTTTCACCGCCACCAGATCCTCCTCATGCTGACCCACGTGAGGCCCAGAGAGGGGCCCCTTGCTCTCTAAATCCCAGCTCCTTACAGCTGTTTTCTCAGACAGGGCAGCTTCAGCCTGCATTAGCCCTTTCCAAGAGTTTGTTTTCTCATGCATACACTTGTTCATTTATTCGTGTATTCACTCATTTCTTCATTTACTCATTTATTTCCTCATCCATGCATTTCTCTTCTTATTTTTTACACAGATTCATCCCACATCTCTGTACTTATTCACTCCATCTTTTGTTAAACAATTCCTGAATGAGCAAAAATACCTATTGAGTGATGTGTGAATGGGCCAGGTGGCTGGGACCTGATAAGTGCTGTGGAAGGCCCCTGGGGGTACCGGGGTGACCCAAGAGGGTACCATTTAGGAGGGAACAGATGATAAAGAGGCAGCGGGTGTCAGAGGCCTTCAGCGAGTGCAGTGCGCAGGACGGGGGTAGCATTAGGACAGGATGCTTCTGCCAGAAAGTTCCGTGCCTGTGTTTGGACAGGGGGGCCGGGGTGGGGCGGGGGGGACAGAACAGACAGAAGGTGGAACACGTGCAGAAGAAGCCTGGCCAGGCAGAACCTCACGTGGGGCATTTGAGAATGCAGGCAGTGGACGACGCTCAGGGTTGGCGGTGGTGCTGTGGGGAGCAGGGAGCTGGAGAACTGGGCAGAGTTGAGGCTGAGAGGGCTCGGGAGGCCTGAATCGGAGCTGAAGGGCTCGAGAGGAGTCATTCCACAGATGTTTTCGCTGGTGGAGCACGGTCAGCTCCTCTGGTCTCATGTAGAGTTTCTTTTTTTTTTTTCTTTATCATAAACTTAAAAGAAGGGGACAATATACAGCTTGTTCTCAGATAGGTGGACTCCCTGTGCAGAAACTGTTAATGCCTGTGGTTCTCCATTTTCCAGGAGGTAGAGCCCAAACTTCATAAGTGGATGTTTAAAGCCCCTACCTGCCTGACAAGCTCATCCTGCCCCATGCCCTCCTGCTCAAACTTTCTCATGCCCTTTGGCTTCCACAGATGTTTTGTTTTGCCTGATTTTACGTACATACACTTGAAAACTTTTCCATCTGTCACCTCCTCTCAGAAACCTTCCCTGCTTGCCCCTCACATCCCGTTACCCTCCCCATATGCACACAGCATGGTCACTGGGCATGGTCATGCTGATGTGGATGACAGCTCACGACTGTCTTGCCAGCTCTCTGGGGCAAATACTGGCTTACTTCTCATCTGGACCCGACAGAGCTATGCCTAGAATGGGCGCTAAGGAGTGGTCTTTGGCTTTGGGGATGGTTCTGAAATTTCAGCAAATCTGGACCTTCTGTTAGAATGTTAGTGGAAAGTGGCTCGTTTGTCCATGGCTTTGCAGAAGATTGAGAGATGGGATATTGCCTGTTTTAAAGACTCGGAGGGAGGGAGCATGTAAAAGCATCCTCATGCTACTGTCCCGGTGCATTATTGCTGGAATGGAATGGAGTTGAAGGAAGAAAGGAGGGAGGGGAAGGGAGGGGAAGGGAGGCCTTGAAGAGAAAGCTGCTCGGGGGGCTGGGGCCTGGGATTTTTTTTCTCATCAATTGAGATGAAGCAAGCTTTGGAGCATGCCTGGGGTGAAAATGAAAAGTGATAGTTGCTCAATCATGTCCAGCTCTTTGTGACCTCATGAACTCTAGCCTGCCAGGCTCTTCTGTTCATGGGATTTTCCAGGCAAGAACACTGGATTGGGTAGCCATTCCTTTCTCCAGGGGATCTTCCCGATGCAGGGATCAAACCTGGATCTTCTGCATTGCAGGCACCCTTTACCCTCTGAGCCTTGGTGGTGTGTGCCTCCTGACAAATGGCTCCAAGACCCATGCTTACTCACTGTACATAGGGTGCACCTGATCCCCTATATTCTCAGTTACAAAAAACAAGCCAAACAAACTCCTCTGATTGGACTCTCTGAAAGAAGACTACTCAGATGTAGGAAACCTGGGTGTTAAACTCTTCAAAATGCTTTGAGCAAGTCTCTTCCCCCCACTGAGTCCTCAGTGTCCCCATCTGTAAAATGGAGACATTCTAGTGACTCTATTGGAGGTTGACTGGGTTTGCACCATGGTGAAGAACTTGTTTTGGAACACTTTCAGGGGGCTGCGGAGATGAAACATTGGGAGGCTTCTTGTGCAGAGGGTGGGGTCTCTCTCAGTCCTGACTGTGTCTCTGTGGCGTGCAGGGCCGCGGGAGCAACGTCATCCACTGCCGGAAAGATGGCACCTGGAGTGGCTCCTTCCATGTCTGCCAGGAGATGCAAGGCGAGTGCTCGGCCCCAGACCAGCTCAACAGCAACCTCAAGCTGCAGTGCCCTGAGGGCTATGCCATAGGTACGATGGGCGTGGGTGGTGAGCTATGCATGGGAGGGGGCGTGTGCATCCTCCCCGGAACTTGAGGCTTGTGTCCTGCTGGGGTAATGGGCACCTCTATCAGCACGAGGCACTGGGGAAATGAAGAGGAATGAGACCAGACCCTGTCCTCCCCGGAAGAGAGTTCAAGGCATGGATGTCGGCAAAGCAATGTTGGGTGGGTGTGTGGGATTCCCCTGGAGGACAGAAACGTTGACTGGTGCCTTCGAAGACACAGGAAAGGCTGCTTACACAGGGATTCGCCGGAGCTCATTGGGCAAGAAGTGACATTCCAGACAGAAGGAGTCAACATGGCAAAGGGAGGCAAGTGTGAAAATCCACATCCAGTTTAGGGAAGCTGTAGTGATCTAGCGTGGCTGCCTTTGTTGGTAATCTTAAAATATGTGTGATGCTAATCATTCGTAATCCTGGCCATGGGTCAGTGCTGCACCCAGCTCTCTAGAGATGGGATCTCTTATCCTCTCGATAACCTTGAACAGATGAGGAAATTGAGACTTAAAGCAATGATAGAACATGCCCGAATCCTGAGACCACTCCTCCAAAGCCTGAGTTCTTTCCATGGCTTTTCAGTTGCCTCCGAAATAAGGAGAAACAGCTTTTTCAGAATATTCTTTGCATGGTCATAGGCTAGCTCGCCAAGTGAAGGGAGACAACCTGGGGTCTGATGCCAGGGGTTGGCCTGGTGGAGACCAGACCAGGCATCTGGACAGATACATTAATCACAGGCCCACGGCTTCCTGGGGAGCTGGGCACACACGGAGTCTGACCTCAGTGGAGGGCAGCGCTACTGACCTCCTGGGCAGATTCCTTAATTGACCATGATGAAAAGCCCAGGGAATTGTATGTCCTTTCTCGTGGCCAGTGTGATTTATGGGACAGTCACCAGGGGTGTCTGGAGCAGAGGGTTATCTCTGCAGACGCTCACTCCCAGCCACACAATGCGTTCCTCACCCTGACGCGGTTATCGTTTCGTGTCCAGAAGGGAGGCCCGCGGCGGGGAGCAGAGGCGGGAGGGGCCTGACCACTTCCTTTGAAAGATGGAAACGCAGACCTGGCGCAGAGGCTCTTCAGCTGAACTTAGAGGAGGGATCAGCCCTCCCGCATTAGTGCTGGGCGGCTCAGAATACACCCAAGGGCACGGTTCCCCCCCTGCTGATTCCCAAGGTGCTTTAAGGTCTAATGGAGTCACTGATCCAAAGGACCTTAAGCAGGAGAGTGGCAGAGGGGGGAATCTCGCGGGTCTGCCGGTGTAGGCGTTCTGGAAAGTCGGGGCAGCAGGTGCAGTGATGGCCAGTAGCGTTGGCTGCTCCATCCCAAGGCCAAGGCTTTCCCCATCATTCCTGAGGGGTGTGCCTGGCTCTGGACACTTCTGTCTGTGATGGGGCCCCTGCCCCCGACTCAGTCAGGACACGCACATGAATACTTCGTCACACTCATGCCTGGCATTGAGCAACCCTGGAAGGAAAAAAAAAAAAATCCTGATTGAAACCAGACCGCCTGCATGTCTACGTCCACCGATGCTCTCAAGCACATTTATTCACGTATGCACAAACAAGCAAGCACGCATACTTAACAACCAGACACAAACGTGCCCACCGTGCGGTGAGCTCATGCCTAGCACGGACACATCAGCCAGACGCCACCCAAATGCGTCACCCATAAACCTGCATGCCGCTCACACACACGTAGGCAGACACATCAAGATACATCACATGGCCGCTTTGTACCTGTTGTATATGTGCAAGTCACAGACACACGCAAAGCAGCCAGAATGCCTGGCTCTCTGCTAGCCAGCAGACTGGTCCAGAGGTGGTGGGGGGTGGGGGGGCTGGGGTAGTGGTGAGGGGGGGGGGGGGGGGGGCTGGGGTAGTGGTGACAGGAGCGTTTCCTTCACCCTCTGAGGTTTCTCATGGTCCAAGCAGAGAGGGAAAGCTGTGTGTCTGATGTTGAAGCCGGAATCCCCTTCTCCGCTTCTGTACCCCCTTTTCTCACTGCCATGCCCATGTGGTTTTATGAGCATGGTCAGCTGGGGTGGGGGGTGGTGGGCTGCTGGAGGGGGTTGAGAGAGTAAAAGCCCCCCCACCCTGGGGGTCTCTGAAGGAGACGCTGAAGCAGAGAGTAGAAAAGCTTCCCCCCACCCCGCCCGATACTCCCTGCTTGTTCCCCTTCCATCCACTTCCTGGGCTGAGCCCTCCCTGGGGAGACATCACCTCACCAAGGAGAGGGACCCCGGCCAGAGGCCTCCTAAGGGAGGGCAGGGGTGAGGTGGGCGGCCGGCTTGGGGGCTGGGGCCCACTTTCTGGAGCCGCTCGGAACTGCCTCCAGGCCCTCCCCGAGCAGCCTGGGGAGGCCTGTGTCCCCTCTCAGAAGCTCCCAGAAAGTTGTGACGGCCACCGAGGCCGCTGCCACCTCTCGGCTCCTCCCGGGAGGGGGAGGCGGGGGCCCGGTGAGATCAGCGCTCTGTAATGATGCCAATTAGGGCTCATGCATCACAACACGCTGCCTGGTCCCGAGACCCGGCGCTGTGGCAGGGGGAGGAGGGCAGAGCAGAGCTGGCCGCCGGGAGAGAGGGATTGAGCTGTGTATGCTGCACAGGGCAGCCATGGCCTCCTGGGTGGACGAGGTTTATTTATTCCCCCTTTTGGGGCGAACAGCCCTTGTCTGTTTCTCAGAGGTGGTGTCTTGTTCCTCCAAAAAGATTTTCCATCAGAGCCTGTGTGTGTCCTTGCCCCCTAAAATCTGTAGAATTGATCTCCTGATAGACACACACACCACGGAGTCTGAGGGCCAAGGGACCCCCAGCTCGGACTCTCAGCTCGTCTTTTTGTGTCTTTCTGCATGTTGCTGTTCTTTCTGCTCACCCTTCACAGCGCTCTGTCCCCTTCCACGGCCGCCACCTTCTCTTCTCTTCCTTCTGTGTCTCCACTGTGTGCGTCGCAGGATTTGGGAGCCGGAGAGGCGTGGGCTTTCATTCACGGCCCCCTCCTCACCAGCTCTGGGACTCAAGTGCTGCACACTTCACCCTCTCACCCCTGAGATGCGTGTGAGGACCCCGGTCTCAAGGGCTGGGTGTGCAGGGGGGTGAGTGGCAGGTGAAAGCCAGCTGACCAGACCAGAAATACCCCCCACTGCTGCCTTCTGGGCTCAGGGGCCCCGTGTTTAAAGTAAAGAGATTCTAAAGATTGTCCCGGATCTGCCATTCCACCCTGGCCCCCTCTTCAGACTTTGTGACTCGCTTTGATCGAAGAGAATGACAAGACGGCAACAAAAGGGCCCAGATGAACTATATGTACATTTACAAATATCTATATATGCACATATATTTGCATGCATGCATATACATATATGCATTCTGTTTTTATACATACACACGTTTGGAAGAGAGCCTTTGGACTGGCTAACAGTAGAGGATATTTTTCAAGAAAGTGACTCTCGGAAACCATTCAGTGTTCAAGGGTGGTCTTGACACTAAGGCAGGGGGATGACCTCCCTAGGGCTCTGGTCAGATTCTGACATGTCCGTTCTTTGTCCATATGAATGAGGACCTTTCTGGAGTCCTGGGGATATCCCATGGGATAAGCTTGGTTTTAAGGAGACTTCAGAATCACTGAGGTCAGAGCAGAGAATGAATCAGTCATATTTCAATCATCTTGCCCACCCACAGCTTGAAGGTCAACTGGGGAAGTGCCTGGACCAAGGGCTTCTGTGTACTGACCCTGTTTCTGTTGGTCGTGGTGCCTTCACTGACTCATGCCTGATTCACATCTTCATTCCTTTATCTACTTACTCAGTCATTTATTGATCCACTCATTCATTTATGTGCCCACTTCCTGCTCTCTGGGATACCTAAATGCCTACTCATCATTCATTCATTGTGCCCTCCATTCATTCACTCATTCATTTCCTCAACCATCTGTGCAACTGCTGTCTCTTTTCTTTTTCACTCATTTCGCAAATATTTATCGAGTGCCTGCCATCCACCGTGCCCAGTGCCAGGCTCTGGGCATAGAAAGGGGCATAGATAGCACTGGCCTCATGGAGTTACAGTCGAGCAGGGAAGAGAACTTTTGGTACAACAGTGACAAAGTCTGTGATGGGTGCCTGTAAGAGGGTTTGGCCTGTCAGAAGTGGAGGTCTCCTCCAAGCAAGGGCACTTGGGTTAAGGTCTGAAAGATCGTTGATTGTCCTGCACTAGTTGAAGAGGGGTGGGAAGGATCCTGAAAGCACAGAGGAGGGTGTGAACACAAGCCCTGGGGGGAGGAGAGTGTGGTTAAGACGCTCATGTGGCATCCACACGCTCACCCTTCCCTCGGCTGATGCCCGCAGAGCAGACCTTGTGTGCAGGCGCTGCGTTAGGCTCAGAGAGGATGCGACCCCATCCTTCCTCTCCTAGGGCATTACTGTAGCTGTGGAGAGGAGGGACGGGGGGCCACGGCCAGCGCGGGAGTGGGATTCACCAACGGCAAATGCTGCTCTCACTCAGCTGCAGAGATCAGGGCAAGCTTCTTGGAGGATCTGAAGTGGGCTTTGAAGAGCTGGTAGGATTTGACCTTGAGAAGGCCGATCAGTGGGACAAGTCAGGAGAAAGGATACACAGGGACAAGAGTTTAGAGGCTGTGACTGGGGGGTTCGGGTGGAAAACCAAGCACAGTCCAGTTGGTGGGTGTGTGTGAGGTGGTTCACGGGTGATAAGGTTGACCAGACCGTGGGAGGCCAGGGATGCTGGACAAAGGGGTGTGTTTTGCACTTTGTCCTGGATGTGGGCCACCCCTGGAAGGGTTTCTGAGCAGAGGAGGAGTAAGACCAAACTGGGCTCAGGGCTGATGAGCGTGGCGGTGGATGTCAGCTGCACTGGAGACAAGAGAGTCGTCAGGGAGACCAGACGTGGCCCTCCCGGAGGGATGGGGGGTTCTCTCTTTCCTGCTGTCCCTGAAGGTGGGATGGCCCAGACCAATGGGGTCCAGGGAGCAGCCGGGTCCATTCCAGTGCGGGGAGGGGGCGGCCCCTGGCATCAGGAGACAGGGGTTGAGCCGCCACCTCCCTCTCTGCTTCCCTGCAGGGTCAGAGTGCACCACCTCCTGCCTGGACCACAACAGCGAGTCCATCGTCCTGCCAGTGAATGTGACCGTCCGTGACATCCCCCACTGGCTGAACCCCACGCGGGTACAGGTGAGTGACTGGGAGGAAAATGACCTTGTTGACCATTTAGTCCTTCCCTTCTGGCAGCCCCTGCGCTGAGGCTGTTATTCACCGTCCCACTGAATCCTGATGACGGCCAGGGAGTAAGAGGATGAGGCACCTTGTTTACAGATGAGGAGACTGAGACTCCAAGATCAACTAGGGTGAAGGAGCAGGGAAGACCCCAAAGCTGTGTCTGCTGACGGGAATGTCCTCACTCATCGGGGCAGGGCTCAGGGCTTCTCTGGTAGAAGCTCTTGGACGGTCCGTAGACAGGGTTTCTGGTATCTTTCTTGTACTTCACTTGTGTGGTGGAAAGCAACTCCTCTGTGATACGGGGAACTAGTAATACCGATTGTGTATGGAGCACCTCCCGTGTCTGTGCACCCAACACTTAGCACACAAGTCTGTTTACACCTCAGGATGGTCCCGTGGAGTGGGGGCCACTGTCTGCATCCTCTCCTCATGGACACTAGACCTCAGGGGTGGACAGTGGTCTGGTAGGAGGGTCCGAACCCAAGCCTGAATCCGAGGGCTGTGCTCACCCCACAGTGCCAGGTGTGTGTGGAAGGCCACGTTCCCATCAGAATTGGCCAGCCCCGTGTTCCTACATGTCAGCTGATCAGTCAGGGCCCCCAGAGCCGACGTGGACCCCACTTGTGTCCTCCGGGGCAGAGCGATCCCTGTCGCCATGTGTCAGCTCTGGGCGTTGGCTCCACACACCGGAGGATGTGAGAGATGGAGACGGGGGCGCCGGGAAGATTCAGCTGTGTCTCTCCACCAGCCTTTCTGCTGAGGCGCTGGGAGGGCTCCCGTCTGCCTGCCTGCCCGTTGCAGATCCCGCTCGGAGAGCTGGCAGAACCTGATAGCAGGCATACTGTTTCCCAGACGAGCTGAGGGCTCCATGGCGAGGGCTTACTCAGCACTCCACGCTGGCTGACCTGGCCAGCCCCTCTGCTGACCCCGCACCCCGGGGCCTGCCGCCCCTCTCTTCCTGTCTTCTGTCACCACCCTCTGTCCATCTCCAACTTAGTGCCCTTTTCCTGCCTCTTTTTTCTTCTTCTTCTTTTTTATAAGAGTTGTGAGTGAAGTTTTATTTGGGGCAAATGAGGACTATAGCCCGGGAGATAGCATCTTAGATAGCGCTGAGAAACTGCTCCCAAGAGGTAAGGGCAAGGTCAGGATAGATGTGGTTTTGACAGATAGATGTGGTTTTGACAGAGAACACGCAACCAAGCACATATTTTTGCAGAAGATCCCGCTAATCTCATGAACGGTCCACTTGTCAAAAGGAGCAGATGTCACCGCGAAGGATTTTCTGGATATAAGGAGATACAAGAATTGCCTGCGTCTGTTTTCACTGTTCCTCTCTTCCTTCTCCTGAGACCCCTATCACCTCTTTCCACCTGCTTCCTGCCCACCTTCTTTGCCTCCATCTCTGTTGTCCTATCTGTCTGTGTCTCTCTGCTTGACTCTCCCACATAATCCAAGAGACCNGCCTGCCCACCCCCGCCCCCGCCCAGGTCCCCGGTCCTTATTGATGCCGGCCTACCCGGAGAGCCGTAACGAGGTTCAGACCTCCACTGGTCTCGGGAGGCCTCATTATCCAGGAGGAAAAAAATGTGGTAGAAAAAGGGAGGAGGGCGAAGGGCAGAGATTGATGATTTCCAGGAATCGGGCAGAGACGCCGGCCTCCGCTGCACCCTTGCCCCCAGTGTGGCGAGAGCTGCAGACACAGCTGCGGGGCCGGCGGGGCTGGGCGGGAGCCGGCCCGGGTCGCCCCTCTGCTTTCAGGGGGTTTGCTCCGAGCACCAGTGCGGGATGGCAAAGGGGCACGGTCTGCGCCAACCCCTGTCACGACTGTCCCCGTGTAAGGGAGGGAGAGCTGAGCCCTGACATGTGATGAACACCCGCTGTGAATCCGGCATTGGATCAGACACCTTCCCGGCTTCATTTGCACTCCTGCCCCCACCACACACACACACACACACACACACACACACACCCCAGGAGGTAGGAATTAGTCTCCCTTTTTTCCAGTAGAAGAAATGGCATCTCATACGTAGAAACCTTCTCCCTAGAAGGAACCAAAGAGGGATCCGGGTCCATCTGATGCTGCTGTTAACTCTAGCTGCCTACAGCCTCTATGATAATAATATTAAGGGAAATATTTACCATCGCCTAAGTAGCTGACAGCCAGCTCTCCCCACAGATATACCCTCTGACGTGAAGCACTTGCCCATTGCTGTGGTGTAAATATTCCCACCACAGCAGGCTGCTGGCGCTCCAAGTGACTGTCGCTGAACACAAGTCAGAAGAGATGGGCGCCGTGGCCTCTCATGAGCCCCTGGGAGCCAGCTGCAGCCCACCCTGGGCACTCACCACATAGCAGGCTCTGCTTTAAGCATTAGACATAGGTTGGCACATATGACAAGAACAAGGACCACCTAGGTAACTTGGAATATCGACTCTGAGCTCACGTGCAGGGTGAGGGGCCTTTGTGAAGGCAGGCCCATGCTCACCGTGTTGACCCTGGCGTGCCCTTTGGGGCCCAGGGCACAGTAGATGCCCTTGTTTGCAGTGGCTGAGTCACGGGACCAAGGTTCAAGTCTGAACCCAGGCAGCTGCTTGCTGCACGTGCCAGAGTTTCCCCTTCTGTGAAACGTGAACTAGACCGAAATCAAGAGTCACAGATTCAAAAACCGATGGGAACCAGGCAGGTGGGATCAGTGGGTGAAGCAGGCCAAGTGTGTCGCTTTGCATTCTAAATACTGAAGTGTCATAACTGTAGTGGTGTAAATACATCAGACAAAAAGGTTAAAATAAAACAAATGCCCATGTATGTGCTACCCAAGCTAAGAAATAAGTTATCGCAAATGCAGTCACTTTCTTATTGAGATAAAGCTTGCATGCTAATCTTAAGCATAAGGCTTGGTCACTTTGCTGTGTCCACTCGTGAGGTTCAGATCGGGGTGGGGACCTTTACAGCTTTCAGACAGTCCTCCCCTTTCCACGCCAGGCAGCGCCTCCACCGCTAAGGTCTCTTCTGTTGGTTTTGCTTACTTTTGAACTTCATGTAGCTGGAATCTTAGCATATATATCCAGAGAAATTCTTGTGTAGCCATATGTTTTACCTTCAGAGAAAAACACGCTGTCCTTTTCCTTTCTTTCAAGTTCTCCCCCTTTTCAAGCCTCTTTGCACACACACACTTTGGAAAGCAGTGAAGGTACAGAGAAACCTTCCTCTAATGTGATCAATAGGACGATGCAAACTCTCTGTGATGGATGGAAATACGCCTCAGGCTTAAGGCTGGAGAGGCTGCAGGGAATGGTGGGGACTGTGGTCAAGGGAGAAACACCCTGGCTGCCAGGGGGGGAGCCGCCAGCTGAGAGTGACAGCGGGGAAATGTGGGCTCGGTGTGGCCAGATTTTCCCTGTTTCCTTGGGTACAAGAAATCTGAAGTCTTTAAAATGTGAAGTCTCTCATTTTTTTTTTTAATATGGGCAACTGCTTTTGACTTGGAGCTCTTTGTGCGCCACGCCAGACACTTCTGTGGGCTGTGTAGCCTGGAAGCTGTTGGCTTGCCACCTCTGGATGAGACACTCCTCCAGGCTGGAGTTCCAGGATTCAGGGGGCGGCCCCTCCTGCATCAGCCTCTAAGGAGCACCCCCCGTCCGCCCTGCAGTCCCCCTGCTTAGGGAGCTGAGAGAGCTCCCCGGTAGGAAGTGCAGCTCACCACCTCAGAGGGGCGTAATGCCTCTGGGTAGCTAGGATCACACCATCGACTCAAGGGACGTGAGTTTGAGCAAACTCCAGGAGATGGTGAAGAACAGGGCAGCCTGGCGTGCTGCAGGCCAAGGGGTCACCAAGAGTCCAGCACGACTGCGCAACTGAACAACAACAAAAGCTGGGATCCTGGCTTCTTTAAGAGCTTCTGGAAAAAGGATGGAAGGAGGAAAGAGAAGAGAAAGGGAGAGAGGAAAGGAGGGTTGAGCAGGAGGAGAGAGAGGGAGTTAGGGGAAGGGAAAGCGCCGCGTACTGACCCTCTGTTGTGACAGGCGGGCGCTCTTTGTGAGGAATCCACTACACTCCGGTGAGATCAGTGTTATCACCACTTTACAGAGGAAGCAGCTGAGGTTTGCAGAGGTTGTCACTGCCCAATGCACGTAACTTGTGTGATGGAATCAGGATTAGCACCCAGGACTAAGGCGGATGCATTCTGTCCTACGAGACAAGCACCTTACACGTTATAAGTAATAAACAAGTGCAACGCATCAGACAAAGGATGCACAATTCACTCCTTGAGGAGAAGGCATGAGACTCTAAAGACCAGGGGTAGAATGGTTCTGAGTGAAGACAAAGTTCAGTCTGTGTTTGCTCTGCGTGAAGACAAAGTCCAGTCCACCCAGTGCATAGAAGGAGACATCCTGTGCCCTGCGGGGGAAGCTCGGAGGTGGGGAGATGTGTTTGGAAACCAGCAATGTTTCATTCACTCTGGGATGCACTTAATACAGTCACTCATTTGGTCATTTATTCATTAACTCTTTCAATGAACATAGATTGGGTACCTCAAAATGGAAGGCATTCTTCAAATAAGGGATACAGGGTGGAAAATACCTAGGTTTAGGAGGAAAAAAAAAACAAACATGAAGAAGAAAGCCAGAAGCTCAGTAACTGATAATAAAGGGAAAACAACTTCTGCAGCAGACCCACAGAAGGTCCTATAAATAAGGAAAAATAAAGGAGAAAGGAGGACTTGTCCCAGAAGACCTCAGAGCGGGTGTCAGGTCTGGGCTTAGAACAAGGGGGTTCTTCTAAGACTCTCTCACGTCTTTGGCTCTGCTTGGGTCCATCTTCTCTGGGGTTCAGCTTTTAAACACTCTGCTTCCGCTGCATTTGTCTCAAAGCCCCTCCATCTTTCTGAACCTTGGTCTTTCCATCTGTCAAAAGAGTAAGTGCTTTTATGCTTACCGGTTTGGGAGCTAGAGGGTTTTGAAGGAGAATATAGTTTTCAAATTATAGATCTGGAAATAGGACAGATATGAGTTTAATTCCTGATTGTTGTTACCTATGCATATGATTTTGGGCAGGTTATTTAACTTCTCTGTACCTCAGTTTCCTCTTGTGTAAGCCAGCATCAAAAATTGTACATAAATACTGTATGATATCACTTATATGTGAAATCTAGAACCCATACAGATGAATCTATATACAGAAAAGAAACAGACTCACAGATATAGAAAACAAACTTATGGTTATGAAAGGGGAGAGGGAGGGAAGCAAGGACATATAGGAGTATGAGGTTAACAGATACAAACCACTATATATAAAATAAATCAGCAATAAGGATTTAGTATATAGCACAGGGAATTATGAGGTGGGAATGGCAACCCACTCAATAGTCTTGCCTGGAGAATCCCATGGACAGAGGAGCCTGGTGGACTGCAGTCCACAGGGTCGCAAAGAGTCAGACATGACTGAAGCGACTTCACACAAGCTCACAGGGGGTTTATACTCAATATAATAACCTATATTAGAATATAATCTGAAAAGATAACTGAATCATTTTGCTGTACGCTTGAAAAAAGTACCTATATCTTATATATATGGACCTATATCATAGTTATGGTAAATGTTAAAGGAAATGAAAATTCTGAGCACAAGGCTTGGAGCATAACATGTGCTTAGTAGAGAGTTTTGTGTTGAGGAGCCAAGGGAAAATCGTGATGGAGCTGTTAGTGGTCCTGTGGTGATGATATGGTGATGGCGCCATTGATGATGATGGTGGGAGTGGGGCTGCTATGGTGAAGATCATGGTGCTACTGTTACGGATGATGGTGGTGGTGATGGTCATTGCAGCCGAGAAGAAGAGACAGTCTGTTCTTCCTACGTAGCAAGGCAGGAAAGAAAGCTGTCTTACAAAGCCTAGTCTGAAAGGGCTCTGACTGGCATCAAGAGGAGCAAGGCTGACCTCTGTGGGGACCCATCTGGGATCTCCCAGCACACTAGGTGTAAACAGCCTAGTCTTTCCTTCAGCTCCTGCTGCCTCTCCCCTTTCCCAGTCCTCCTGGCAGACAGAGGGGCCCTGTCGGGAGACAGGTGGGGCGTGCAGCCCTGAGGAATAGTGGAAAATCCAGAAGACTTGGAAACATAAATAGGCTCATGCAGATAGTATAAAAGTCCTTTTTCTGAACTCACGTCAGGTAAACCTCAACTGACAGAAACTTGTACAACCACACCAAGACACTCCCACGGATGGATTAAATTAGGGCTCAAATAAACAGGGTGGGGGGTGGGCATCGAATCCCTTGTGGAGCCTGACCCTGCTGTTTTCTACTACTTGAGTTCAGTTCAGTTGCTCAGTCGTGTCCAACTCTTTGCGCTTATTTTTTCGAATGTTGAACCGTAGCCTAAATGCCCCTCAAACATCCCTGCATGTTGGCCAGGAACAGACACTCAGACCCTGGGATGGAAGTCTGGTTAAAACTTGCCAGATGATGAAAGCAGGTGGTCCCCTCCACTTCTGGCCCCCAGGGTTAGGAAGCAGAGGGGTGAGAAAGTAGCTGAGCTGGAAGGAAGGGACTAGACTTCTCACATTCCTTCACTGGATCAACATGCATTTGTTTGCTGTGCTCCATCCTGAACCTCAGGGGTGGGGATGGGGGCAGGCAGAGATGTCTAAAACCAGGGCCTGCCCTCTTACCCGCAGCTGTTACTCCTGGATAAACCATTTCCACATACTTTCTCTTAATGCATCTTCACAACAAGCCTGTGACATTTTCAGGACCCATTTTGCAGATAGGAAAACCTAACCTCAGAGTGGAAATTTTAAGCCAGAAGTGCAACCATATCTGTCATGCCTCAGTGCTCAACCTTTCCCACACATCACCTTGTGTTTTAGGAGAAGGCAGACAGTGTCAACAGAGGGAGGAGGGGCTGAAGAGTAGATTTCACATTGTGAGACTGTGGTTGGCAGATCCTACGTTAGGTTGTTTGTCCAAGATCTGTAATTAATTCAGTGTACACTAAACTGGTCCTCTAAGCGAGACACTCTGCTGGGCTTTGCAAATGCTTTTCTGCTGCTGTGGAGGAAAAAGTGAAAGTATTAGTTGCTCAGCCATGTCCGACTCTTTGCAACCATATGGACTGTAGCCCACCAGGCTCCTTTGTTCATGGAATTCTCCAGAGAATACTGGAGTGGGTAGTCATTCTCTTCTCCATGGGATCTTCCCGACCCCAGGATCAAACTTGTGTCTCCCACATTGAAGACAGATTCTTTACTGTCTGAGCCACCAGGGGAGCCCAGGAAGACAAGTGTCCCTTGGTAAAATCATCTCTATTTTGAGATGGATCCATTCATAAATAACATAAATATTGGCTGATCATCCTCCAAGTACTAGGCACCATTCTAGGCATAGAAGACCCAGGGTGAACCAGAGAAATGGGGCAGAGAAGCAAGGCACCCAGTCCAACCTCAGCCAAATCCTGGAATCACGTGAATCCACGCTCACCAGGAAACCTAATCACAGCTTTGCTCCCATATAGGTCTGCCCTCGGGGAGAGAATGGGCCGGTCACATGGATTTTCCACAGTCTGACCCTTGTGACTGTTCATTTCTTAATTAAAATTAATCAACTGGCACTATGCTTAGCCCTGACCGTGGAGGCTTCAGTGGCTTCTCCCTGATGCAGAGTTACCTGTCATGGGCAAGCTAAGCATTTGCCTCCAGGTTATTTTGATTAATTTTTTTTAAATAAATCATTGTAGGACCTCCCTGGCGTCCCATGGTTAAGACTCTGTGCTTCCAATACAGGAGGCATAAATATGATCGATATTCGGAAAGCTAAGATCCCAGATGCTGCATGCCATGGCTAAAAGATTAAAAATAGATAAATAGACAAACAAATCACTCATTGTAATCCGGCATGAAAAGTAGGGCATCTATGGCAGAATAGAAAAGGGAGCTTCTGGGATTGCTACCTTAGCCCCAGTCCTGATGCTGTTTTATTTTCCTAGTTTTGTTTCTCTTTCTTTTTTCACCTCCTTAAGAAAATTACTGTGTTGGATTTTATGTTATGAGTCACCTTAAATCATTCCTAAAAAATATGCTTAGTTTCATATGTTGGTTTCTTCACTTAACAGCTGTGGAGCTTGGGGAATTTCTTCTCCTTGTGACACAAGATTAATGCCCACCCCCACGCCCTGCATGGTGGTGAGAAATAAATAAGAGAATGAATAAAGTAAATAGCACCATAAGTGCACTCAATACATTTGTATTATAATAATAGTTTGATTAAGGATGGCTACAAGTAAATGTATATACATATACTTAAGTTCTGCCTGAGGGGATTGGGGAAATCCAAAGGAAGGTAGTCTTTTTTTTTTTTAATTCTAAATTTATATGCTACTTATTTATTTTATTGGAAGAGAAAGAGGTGACAGAGAATGAGATGGTTTGATGGCATCACCGATTCAGTGGACTTGAGTTTGAGCAAATTCCAGGAGATAATGAAGGACAGCGAAGCTTGGCATGCTGTAGTCCATGGGGTTGCGAAGGGTTAGACACAACTTAGCCACTAAACAGCAACGTAGTTAATTTACAATGTGTTAGTTTCAGGTGTACAGCAAAGTGAATAAGTTATACATACATCCACTTCCCAGGTGGTGCTAATGGTAAAGAACCCTCCTGCCAATGTAAGAGACACAAGAGATGCTGGCTCTATCCCTGGGTTGGGAAGATCCCCTGGAGGAGGGCATGGCAACCCTCTCCAGTATTCTTGATTGGAGAATTCCATGGACAGAGGAGCCTGGTGGGCTACAGTCCATAGGGTCGCAAAGAATCGACCACGACTGAAGCGACTTGGTACACCCAGCACTCGTCTTTAGATACTTTCCCCATACAGGCCGTTACAGAGTATCGAGGAAGGTAGTCTTGTGCAGAAACATAAAAGATAACTAAAGATTCTCCAGGTGACAAGATGAGGAAGGGCCTGCCGTGGAAGGGAGCAGCAGGGCCAAAGTCACAGAGATAGGAATGTGGGCAGCCTCGGGAATGGTGGTGGAGGCGGTTTAGTCGCTAAGTCGCGTCCGACTCTTGCAACCCCAAATGGAGAGCTGGCCTGTATGGCGGCAGCAGGTGGAAGCAGAAAGGGTTTTCTGCCTGTCCAGGGTTCCAAACCGAAGGTGCATTCCTGCATCCTCCAGCCCACCACTCTCAAACTGTAGTGTGTATCAGAGTCATCTGGGAAAGCTTGTTTTTAAAACACAAGAGTCCCAAGTCCTGGCTTCAGGGACTCAGACCCCCTAGGCCCAAGGCAGTGCTGAAGAATCTGCTGTTTCAGCGTACTCCTGTGTGATGGTGATTAGGGTGGTCCTCAGTGCTGACTTGGGGCAGCCCTGTTCCATGCCTTGCTCCATCTCCTGCTGCAGCCACGCACTTGGACATGCATGTGCTCACATGTGTGCAAGAGCACGCATGCACGTGCACACACACACTGTCTCTCTACCCTTCCTCCTTCCTGCCGCCTGATCCCCGACTCTGTCCACGGGGCAAACCCCAGCCAGGAATTTCCCGAAGTGCCTTTCCGATCCCGTCCCCATCCTGCAGGCCTGCATCTCCCCCTCTCGTATTCCTGCCAGAGAAATACAGAATCACGACCCCTACAGTGAACACAAACATTGTTTTCATCTTGTGGCTCCAGTTCAGGCAGGTACCTGGGCAAATTCTCCATGTAAATGCCAGGGTGAGGTCAGGACTCAGAAGATCCAAGAAGGGATCAGGGGCGTTGAACGCGGTTCCGGTGAAGCGATGGCTCCCTCGCAGCCGCAAACCTGTCTGAACCTCTTTCTCCCTCTCTCTGCAGAGAGTGGTCTGCACGGCTGGTCTCAAGTGGTATCCTCACCCTGCCCTGATTCACTGCGTCAAAGGTTGTGAGGTGAGTTTCTCAGAATGGTCCCACCATGGTTGTCCCTCTTATTGTTACTCATGGTAACATTTCCGGTGCCTGCTAAGTGCTTTAGATACCCCTTTAACAGACTTCTTGGGTGGGAGTCAGCCGTCCTGTCTTACAGCTCATGAAACTGATGCACAGAGATGGCGACACACATTCAGACACACGTCGAGTGGCTCACAGTCAGGATTCCAGCCTGGGTGTTTCTGGCTCCATGGAATATTGCCTCTGAAAGGGAGACAGGGAGTGAACGAGTCCATATTGATTTAGCAGCTGTAATACGCCAGACATTTTACCAGCATGGACTCATTTAACTTTTCAGAACCACATGAGGCAGGTTTCTTTTTTTTTTGAATTTCTACTTTTTCTGACACCATTGGCTGCAGATCACTTCCTTCTGCCCCATATCTTTGTCATTCATGTGTTTATCAACTCCAAAGGAGATAGGGACACCTTATCCCAACTGCTTAGAGCTGGAGGCAGAACAGCTCCTCTGACCCTTCAGTGGAGCCAATCCCTGGAACTTGGCATTTTGGCGCTCTGTCCCTGGGTATCAGTGATAAGCTTGGGGAGGGGCAGGGCCAGGGTACTTGGCCTGTCACCTGTGTTCTCAAGGGGGTGCTATCCTTGGAGGTCAGAGACATTCTGTGCACCTCTGTGCCCACCTGAGTCTTTTCAGCTGGCATCAAAAGGAAGCCCCAGATCCTGTCCAAATGGACGCCCACATCTCTGTGGTCCCCTCAGACCCCTCTCAGGAAAAGCCAGGTGGAAAGGACTAGACTGCTCTAGAAAACTTTCTATTTGATGGAATTCTTAAAATGTCACAACCAGAATGCTCTTCTAAGTGATGGGGAGACTGAGACCAAGCTAGCAGCCAGGTCTAACGTTTGATGGAATGCCAAACTGGAACGGCTCTTAATGTGATCTAGCCTCCTCGTCTGTTGGGTAGACTGGAAGAGGGCTAGAGGGGGATGGATCAGCCCAAGGTTGCGTAGCATAACAGACATAGAGCTAAAGCATGAACCCAGGTCTCCTGGCTTCCAGGCCTGTGAATTTTCTCCTCCACCGGCCACTCCTGACCACAGACCACCCCCTGGCCTGTCAGGATCACAGGCCAGTCCCTGGGTTGTATTTCTTTCTGTATGGGCTAGGGACCTCCTGTGGCATCTTCTTAGGGCATAGGACACTGTAGTTTTTAAGAACTCCCCTTCTCCCAAGATTCAGCAGAAATGGCAAAACCAAAGCCAAGGACCCAAGACAGTGGCATCCTGCCATCTCTCTGGATCGGTCCAGCATTTCAGAAACAGGAAGCTTGGGTTACCTGGGCATGCCTTCTGCTGAGTCGGCAGTCGGGGCGACCAGTGTGACAGCAGAATTCGATCCCTCCTTTGACTCAGCACTAAGGCCTTGGAGACCCTCACCTGCCCGGCTCTCAGCTCTGCCAAGTGATGCTTATCACCTCTGCCCTTGCAGGCGCCCCCTTGTCTCCTTGCCTTCTAATAGCTTGTCTCTTATCTGGGCTGGAAAGTATGCTTAGAAAAGGCACAAATGCAGGGTCCTGGGAGGAGCTATCATCCTGGAATATCTACAGTAGCCGAGATTGATAAAGGGTTTGGGAACCTTGAGCCCCCTCCCCTCTGCCCCAAGCTGTGTCTAAATTAGTAATTTAATTGCTTGTCTATCAGAGCTTCACTGGGGGCCTATTCTGCGCCCAGCACTGGTCTACATTCCGAGAGTGCAATGGTTTTAGTCAAGTGAGAACAGTAACTATGCTCTCTTGACTCATCTAGATATCTTCTTAACCTTTCATCCATCCATCCGTCCACCCTTTTACTGATCATTTTACAAGATAAACATTTAAGGAAAATGTATTTGATAAAGGTTTGCTCAAATTGCCAGCATTTTGCTAGGAAATCTAAGATATAAAAATTTGGATGACATACGTCCCCTGTCCGTAAGGAACTCACAGTATAGTAAAAGAGATAGTTAAAGAAGAGTTCTAAACTGATACACCAGGAGCTATAAGCCAAGCAGGTGCAGGAAGCTTCAGAAGCACACGGAATCCCAGGGTTCTAGGGAAGGCATTTTGGAAGGGTGATGTTTGAGCTCTATCTTGAAGGATGACTTGTTTTCGGGAACACACTGTTAGTAGAAGCATGAGAGACACCAGAGAGAGAAGCAACCTCTAAGTTGTAGAGCTTCTCACATGTGATTCTCTCTCTATAGAAAGTCTCCCGTCTCCACCCCCTGATTAATTTCCACCATCTGATTAACTCCCACTCATCTTATGATCTCAGCTGAAACAATCTTTTTCTCGGAGACCCCTTCGTGGACTTCTCTGATTAGGTCAGACCTTCCTGCTCTTAATTCTAACAGCATCAGGTACCTTTCCTCCCAAGTTCTTATCAAAGTTATAATCAGCAATTAGATAAGTGATCCCTTGAACAAAGTCTGCCTCCTCACTACAATGTAAGACCTAGAGGAGGAGGAGCTCTATTGGGTTGGCCAAAAAGTTCATTCAGGTTAGTCTTTAACCTTTTAGGGAAAATCCGAACAATGTTTTGGCCAACCCAATACATTGACTCATTATTACATTCCACCCTCCCCTTTTTTTAAAGCACAGTGTGTGACACATAGTAGGTGTTCAACAGACAGGATTGAATGGAAGATGAATGGATAGATGGGTGGGTGGGTGGGTGGGTGGATATAGCTGCAGGAAAGGGCACACAGAAGAGTAGCTAGTGATGAGACTAGAGATACTTTTCAGTGGCCCAATAAAAAAAGAAACACTTTTATTTTACTTTTATTTTATTTTTCTTCCTCCTCTTCTTCTCCAGCTACTCCTTTATCAAGCCAGTTCTTTTTATTTTAGGAAAGGGACATTTGGTTTCTGTGATTAGTCCTTTCTATATGATATGAGAAAGAACATAGGAAAGAGAGCCCCCAGACAGATCTCCTAAGGCTCAGAAAAGAGCAAAGGGCTTAACCTTTGTGGCCGCTGCCTCTCTGCTCCAATATGAATGTGGTTACTGTGTCCGTTACGGCAGTCACAGGCAGAGTCCCACCTGTGTTCACAGCCTTGCGTGTGTGCACACGCCGTTGGACACAGTTCTGTCTGCTCTTGGCTCTGTCTTGCTAAGAGCTTTTTTAGACCCTAGTAGGGTGGTGATGAAATGGAATCAGGCCTCAAGAGTTGGTGGCACGAAGACTGTGTGAATCTGGAGCACAGATGCAAGAGACAAGGATGCCACACAGGCTGGCCTCCTTGTGAATTTGGGTCTCCCCAGAGCAAGCCCACAGAAGTCAGGGCGGGAGGGAGAGACCGCTGGGTCACAGAGGTGGTGCTGAAAGGCAGGGGTCTTAGCCAGCTGTTGACATCTTCTTTCTCATCAACAAGTCACTGAGCGTCAGAGACCCCCAAGCCGAACTTTATTCAGAGAAGTTTCTCTTTGATCTCCTTTCTGTATTAGAGGGTTACACAGGATTACCTCTGATGAGGGGAGGGGTATGTTCATTGCTTTGAGAAAACAGTGGTCTAATTCTGCCTCTTCCTTTTACCACTGGGAGCCCTGAGGCCCAGAGACAATAAGCCACTTACTCAAAATGATCGAGTAGCCAACCAGGTTAGACAGTATGCTAAGTGTTCAGGTGGGAAATGCAAGTGCTAGGGGTTGCAGAGACCCCTGCCTCTGCCCTAAACTGACTCTGGATTCAGATCAGTAATAACCCTATCATCTTTTCAACATCTTTCAAGCATCACAGAGTTGGAGAAACACAGGGAAGAAAAGAGAGAAATCGGCATATTCTAGATATTACCTAGAAGGGTAAAGAAAAGTGAGATGTCAGCTTAGATTGAAATCTCTTCTCTGCCTCTGCCAGTTTGCTTGTGTCCAAGTCCCTTTCTTGCCCTGAGCCCCAAGGTCTTAATGTGTAAAGTGGGAAGAGCAATGCCTACCTCACGTGTTTTTTTTTTTGAGAACAAAAGGAAAACGAACATGGAAGGTGTGTGACATTCAGTATATCTATACTGTCATGTTAGAGGAGAAAGTGTCCGCAATCACACACCAACTGTTGTGCCAAATTCATATGAATTCTTACGTTCAGTCTCTATAGTTCTTTGTTAGTTTACATTCAGCTTCCCAGTGTATTTGCATATATGTTTATTGTAAATTATGGTTGTATATATCTACTACCAGGAAAGTAGGGGGAGGGGTTAGATTTTCTTATTTCTCCAAGTGAAAGGAGCCCTGTGCTTCAGGAAGACCTAGTGCTTTTGCATACCCAGCATATAAGTGTGTGTCTCCTAGTATAACTGTGGCTGAGTGGGGAGAAAATCTTGGCTAGTTAAGAGTCTTTAAAAATGGCAGACATGATGATTTGTCCAAAAGGGTGTAGGGATTTGAAGCCAGGTAGGCTGACTCAGAGGTTTGTGAGAAGAAGAGAGACAGCTGAATATTTAGAGAAGCTAGTCGCTGCTCACTCCAGGATGCTCATCAGGCCTCCCTTCTTCCTGCCTCTCTCCTCACGTACAGCCCTTCATGGGAGACAATTACTGCGATGCCATCAACAACCGAGCCTTCTGCAACTATGACGGTGGAGATTGTTGCGCTTCTACAGTGAAGACCAAAAAGGTAGGTAGGCCAGTGCGCCCCCTCTGCGGCCGTCTCCAACTCACTGGCCCAGGATCGACCCTGGGTGTTGGACAGCCCATTGACCTGGCTGTGTCAGCATTCCCCTACGAGTTTCATTGTGTTCTATGGCATTGTATTTTTCATTCTTTCACTCAGTGGTGGTGGTGGTTTAGGCGCTAAGTCATGTCTGACTCTTGCGACCCCATGCGCTGTGGCCCCTCCGGGCTCTTCTGTCCATGGGATTCTCCAGGCAAGAACACTGGAGTGGGCTGCCATTTCCTTCTCCATGTTACTCAGTAGTTGAGCTCATATCATGTGCTGAGCCCTGAACTAGGTGTGGAGGTTCATGGATGGTCTTTGTAGGTGAGGTCGCTTAACCTCAAAGCCTAGAGTCAGATATGGAAGCTGGCAAGTTGAAGAGCGATGCTTTTTAAAGGAAAGGACAGAATTCTCTGAGGACCCAGGCAAAGGGTTGGAGAAGACTCTGTGGTGGGATCTTCATCAACACACACCACTGAGGGATGAGAAGGGGCAGGGAGGTGGCCAGGAGAAGTGTCTGGGGCAGGAGGCTGGCATGTGAAATCCTAGAGAGCACACACGTTTAGGGAGTATGGCTAAGTCCTAGGGGAAGATGGAAGATGAGACGTCCCTGACAAGGTCAGTTATGCTCTTTAAGCATTTAATAATGTCTTTCATTGTTCACACCTGGAAAATCAGTGGGTGTGGTCTCGGTCACCATTTTCTTCCTTAGCATATTAGGATGTCGTGGAGGTGATTCAAGTATTTATGGTAAAACTGGAGCATCCAGTTAAGATGCGGTGGCACCCCCCCACAGAGGAGTGGCCACCTCCACTTTCCTCCTGGTGAGAGCTGGAGCCAGAGTTTGGTGCCTGAGCCAAGAGTTGGGAGAGAGGTGACCAGTCTGGCCCAGTGTGAGTTAAAAAGATTCCTGTGATGAATGAGTTCATCGGGAACAGTTTCTATTTTCATGTGCATCTACATTCTAAGCTGGAAAATCATTTGACCTTCTCTCTCATTTTAAAGAGGGGAAACTGTTCTTGAGGTGGGTGGGGAGTGCACACACTCATGGTCATTTCGGCTACAGAACCCTCTGTGATGACGTGGTCCAGACTTTGCATTGCCTTAATGGGGGTTCTGAGACCCATCAAGGAGGGATGATTTGTCCAAGGAAGAATAGGGAGTGATAGAGCGAGGTTCCTGGCTTCTGTCCCCGCCCCTTTGTACTGCAGCGTCCTTAAGACAAATTGCTCCTTCAAGAAAGATGCTCTGATTCTAAACGAAGGGGTAAACAGGGCAAGACCCAAGAAACACTCCAATTGGAGACCTGTTACTGCATCTCTTGGTAGCTGCCAGGCTTACTGGCTGCGTTTGCTTTGCTGTATACTGTTAGTATACTTAGTATATGGTTGTGAAGTACAATAATTTATGAAACTATTTCTCTCCAACTTTTGATTTTAACTTTTCGGTGATTTCATCTTCTCACAATGACAATGATGCTAATGAACATTTTTGCACAGACATATTCTATAACTGTAATTATTCATTTACAACTGATTCTTAGAATTGACATGAGCAGGATATAAGATGTGAGCATTTTTTTAATATTTTAATCTTATTGGCATATATTTGGTTTTCAGAGTTCTGTTAGTTTCAGGTGCAGAGTAAAGTGATTCAGTTATACATACAGTCCTTCTTCTTTAAGATTCTTTCCTCGTATAGATTATCACGGAATACTGCAGAGAGTCCCCTCTGCTATAGAGTACAGCCTTCTTGGTTATCTGTCTTACGTATGTTAGTGTGTGTATTTACCCCAAGCTCTTCTTTATCCCTCCCGTGCCATGTATCCCTTTTGGTGACATAAGTTTGTTTTTGATATCTGTAAATCTGTTCCTGTTTTATGAGTAAGTTCATTGGTATCTTTTTAAAAATTAGATTCCACATATGAGTGATATCATCTTTGTCTTTCTCTGTATGACTTCACTTCTTATGGTCATCTCTGGGCCCATCCATGTTGCTGCAAATAGCATTATTTCATTCTTTTTTATGGCTGAGTAATATTCTATTATATATATATATNGGGTCTCGTGGCCTCAGCCTGCTCCCACCTCTGAAGCCCACAGTGGCGCTAGGACTAAAGCCTGCTCACAGAGCTCCTGTAGGTGGAATGCTGGTGTCCGGGGCCCAGGCGGGGAAAGCAGCCCTGATGGTGGTCCCGCCCCCTCGTAACACCCCCCCTAGTAACAGCGCCCTGACGCTGGTGGGCCCAGGCTTCTTCCAGGTACACCCTAGGTTGCCACATCCTAGACTTTCCAGGCTCTTCTGCGCAGCCAACCGCGTTCTTCTCCCCGGGTCTGCCCCCAGAAGCCTCGTCTTCTGCACCCAGCTCCCCCGCACGGACAGAGGAGTGTCTCGGCCTGGGAGCCCGCAAGCTGCTGTGCTTTGCCCTCCGAAGCCCCTCTTCCATCCAGTCTGACCTTCCCACTGGTGAGGAGACGCCCCTGGGTGCAGGAACCTTCCCTCCTCCAGAGCTCCCTCCCTGGGGCGCAGGCCCCGTTCAGACTCCTTCCTTGTCTTTTTCCTTCTGTCTTACCTGGTTACAAGGAGGTTTTCTTGTCTCTTTGGAAGGCTGAGGCCCTCTGTCGGCATTCAGTAGCTGTTCCATGTGAATGGTTCTCCTTGTAGATGTATTTGCAGTGTTTGGTGGGAGAAGGTGAGCTCCATGTCCTACTCATCCTCCATTTCAATCCCCCCTCCAGGTGTGAGCATTTTGAAGGCTCTGTATTCCTGATGCCAAATGAATACACTGTGTCTCTTTCACTCCCTTGGAGTCAGCCACTTTGGCAGTGAACAGACAATGAAGCTTGTGTAGAATTATGACATGTTATTCATCTGACACCATCAGCTAGAGAAACAGCAGCTCTGATTGAAAGAATTTTCCTAACAACTATAACTTAGGTACTAAAATATTAAAATATAAAACTCATACATTAAAATATAAAAACTAATTTTATTGGGAAACTTTCTTAAACAGATTGTTATTTCTAGAATGCATGGTAGGGACATGCAGTCATAATTCAGGCTCAGGTGCAGACTCCAGGTTATTACAGTCACTTGAATATATAGATATACATCTCAAATGGTCATTTTTCAGCTGCAGCAGTTTCAGGCTCCAGGGCTCAGTGATGAGTGTTGTCTCTTGAATCAAGGACCCAGAGTCTGTTCTCTTGCTAGTTCTGAATATGTTTCCTTGTCCTTTTTCCCCTCTTTTCAATCTACATTATGAATGCAATTTTAGCTTTTTGTGTTACAAGACCACCTTCTTCCACTTTTTCACTTCTTCCTGTTGGCCACGGCTATGGAATGTAGGTGAGCAGGCTTCCTCCGTGAAAGGAGATGTGTCCGTGGAGCAGCTCATGGGCTGGGCATGCAGCAGCGTCCAGGCGCCATCCCTGCCCTTGTGGAACTCGTGGGCTGTCGGGGGGGCCAGATTACGAGCAGTGAGGTATGTTGCTGCTGTTAGTCAGTCAGTTGCATCCAACTCTTTTGCAACCCCAGGGACTGTAGTCCGCCAGGCTTCTCTATCCATGGGGTTTCTCCAGGCAAGAATACTGGAGTGGGTTGCCATTTCCTTCTCCAGGGTATCATCTGGAACCCAGGGATCAAACCCACATCTCCCGCTTGGGAGGTGGATTCCTTAGCACTGAGCCACCAGGAAAGCCCCACTGGGGTACAGAGCTATGTGTTTAGTGACCTTTGCAGAAGGGACAGTGAAGGGAAGGTGGGGGCTCATTTGGAGAAACAGTGTGAAGGTCAGAGAAAGCGTTCCCGAGGAAGAGAGGTTTACACTGAGACCTGAAGAGTGAGTAGGAACTTCCCTGGTGCAGATGCATGGTGGTTGGGAGGAGAATGGGGAGAGCTGTGGGAAGTCTGTGTGACCTTCACCTGTGGATTAGAGCGCCTGATGGCCTCTGTCATAGTGAGGGTGGCTTTACCGTAGTTATTGCGTGCTCAGAAGTGTCTGGACGTCTCTTCAGATGCGAGACTCCTGAAGTCTGACTTCTGGAGAACAAAGGTGATGTCATACTCCTACAGTTTAAATTCCCCAATCTAACTTCTACATAAACTCCAACTTCTTGAAACCCTCTGCTCTCTCATCTCCAGCCAACTGTCCTTGCACTGGCTGCTTTATAGAGACAGAAGATGATAAGATAGGACGCCTGTTAGTGAACTGCCGCACGTCAGACACGCGTCCTCCCTTACCTTCTTTAATCCTCATGTCAACCCCGGCAGGGCACTGGGAACCAGCTTGGGCTTGTGTGTTAGTCACTCAATTAAGTCTGACTTTGCAACCCTGTGGGCTGTAGCCCATGGCCCACCAGGCTCTTCAGTCTGTGGAATTCTCCAGCAAGAACACTGGAGTGGGTAACCATTCCCTTCTCCAGGGGACCTTCCCAGCCCAGGGATTGAACCCGGGTCTCCACACTGCAGGCAGATCCTTTACCAGCTGAGTCAGCAGGGAAGCCCTTAACTTCAGGCTTAGCGAGTACTTACAGGACTTCTTGAGTTTACCGGCTGCAAGTGCCACGGGCCAGAGTCGAACCTGGTTCCGTCTGAGTCCCAAGCCCGGCTTGTTCTGCTGCGGGGGCTGCGCCACAGAAGAGGGAGGTGGGGGCGGCGGCTAGCAGAACCTGTCCTCAGCGCACCTGGGCGTGACGCTACCTGGCCCAGCTGGAGACATTTCACTGTGGACCCAGAATGCCAGGGAGCCTTGGGTCTGGGACCCCTTCCCACTCACTTTGACGAGGCAAAAGCAGCTTTCCCCAGGGTGGGGAGTAGCGGAGACTCCCAGCCCTGCCAGTCATCCTTGACCGCCCAGACAGGAGTTTCCCCTGAGCACAAAAACGTCCTGCCTTTCTGTCTCCAGCTTCCACAGCAGGAAGCCTCTCGGGGCAGGAGAGGGGCCAGAGGCTGGCTTTCTG